GAGTCGATATTTGTCTATATTTTATATGACAATTTTGTCTATAAATAAAATTTTAAAAATCTCATAACTTAGCCAAAGAGGCCCTATTTTTAATTCTGAAAGCTGTCCTATGCTAGTTTTTGTTAGAATATCTGCATACTCAATTTTAATTTAAAAGAAATCTAAAATTTTGTCAAATTTTGGCAATTGTGATAATGTACAATTTTTGGGGGAAAAAAATGGAAAAATAAATTGAAATTTTTTTTTTATCCAGACATGGCTATATCGACTCGGCTTTTCATCCTGATCAAGAATAAATATGATTTATAGGGTCGGAAATGATTCCTTCACTTAGTTTTACGCATCTGAATAAAATTTTAGTACCCTTCAAGGGTACGCAAATAAATCTTCTGTGTAAACTATTAGTTATGATTATTATTCTATAATTTCGATCTAATATTGTCCGTTTACTTTGGAAAAATATTTTGTTTTTATTAAATTCTAACTATACATTAAAATAAACCAATATTAATGCAAATATAAGTCAAAAATATTATTATTATATCTCTGACTTCATTCCCATCGAATCTAATTCCTTACCTTATTTTTCCCTCTGTAATTCAACTGCAGATACTTGGCATTGTCTGGGCAGTACTTACTTTTGCGTTACCCATCTCGGAGCATCGACCTCGTTGAATTGGCAACAGTTAATGATGTTAACAGAAGCTCGGAATGGCCAGCGGCACCCTCCTATGCATACTCAGACCGGTATCAGCATTGATCACTTGGCCAGGATGAAAAACGAGCTCCGATGTGGAGATGCGACCACAAAAGTTCCATCAGAATCAAGCTGGCGGCAGGAGGTGTAATCGAAACGAACTCCAACTCGATTTGTGCACGGTAATTAAAATTTAATCATTGGACATTAGTACTCGCATACCCATCGAGGTGGTGGTGGTGCCTGTCTGGAAAAGGGGCGCTAAGCCCATGGAATGAATGGGGTTCGGTGTAATGAGTGCCTGGCCCCCTTTGAAGGGCTTACACGCTCCGATATCTCCTGCATTCACTTGTGTGCTGCATACTTTCAGGCATGTAAATGCACACCTGCGTTTCCTTTGTGTGTGTGTGTGTGTTTGTGGATAAATGTTTGATTTAGAGGTTTGGGTTACTCATTTGTTTATTTGGCCGTTTGTTCCAGGTTACCAAGGTATTTAAGTCGCCACTGCCGCTTCGCTTCGGGCTTTTTAATAGATTTCTGCTAATGACATGCAATTAATTTTGCGGTTTTTCAGCCAGAAAGCATAAACTTTTGCTGAAAAATAATAATAAAAAATTAATGTAATGCATGTATGAGGGAAGTTACATGGAATCCATTAGGGAGATTACAATTATGATGATTTTTTCTTCTCAGTTAATTTATTTTGGAAAATTGCAATGACTATGTAGGTTTATTAATAGGAAAGTGAGAAATGATATATCATAAACAATTTAGCGATAAATATACAACTTACGATCAAAATATCGATAGTAGATAGAAGAAAAGCTATCGATATTTTTCTCACACATCGCAAACTATAAATTATTAAGATTTTTTAGAACTTTACGAATAGTCTTAATGTTATGTTAAATATTTATTGTTTTTAAAAAACACTGAGTGTTTAATTTGTAATGCATTAATTAATTTAATTCCTTGATTTAATATCTATCTATCTATCTATTATATATCAACTTCAAAAACACCCAAGTTGAGAAGCTCGTTAAAATCCCTTTTTAATTTCCTAGCTTCCACTTCCGAATCCAAAACCAACTCTTTTGCCACTGAACAGCCATCAGTTTTATCAAGAAATTGCATGTTCCGGGGATTAAAAGCCCAATCCTTACTACAAAAAAGAGGGTTCAGCGGGCGGCACATGTGGCATTCATTTCCAACTTTTATCTAACAACAAAGCTGGCTCAAACCCGATGTTTTGACCCAGGCCACAGAACACCAAACCCAAACACAACCCCAGAGTAGGAGATGAGGACAGTGAAATGGCCAGCGATGGCAATTAACTTTATAACATTTGCATTGCCCATGTGCATTGTCCCCTCTGCTGCACGGCAGTTGATTAATTGGAAATTGCGGTTAATGGTTGGTCAGATCCGAATCGGCATCGACAATGGCAGCATAAAGTTGGCCCCGAGGTCTAGACTTTTAATTAGACCCGGCAACTGCGCCTAGAAGAGTGCTCTACATCCAAAAAGTTTGCTGCCAAAAAAACTTTGTCACTTGTTATTGAATTTTTTTTTTTACACTTTTTTGGTGCAAAAAAGTTGACAGATTTGCAGCGGAAAATTAACAACTTCCTTGCTGAGAAAAAAAAACATATTCTTTTTTTTGGAGAGTAAACTTTATCCTGCGTAAAATCGAGTTAAGAAGTCGGAGAAAGTATGCAAGACTAAAAATGTGCTAGAAACTATGTACACGGAAGAGTTTTCATCGGGTTTTCCCGGCTGTCTCGGGTTACGGGTTACGGAAACTTAAAAAGTCGTAGACTTTTATGTCCTTTTTGACAGGGAAGGGAGACTCCTGTTGTGAGCCTACAAACAAACTGAGTTTGTTGGAAAATTAAGTTGGAAATGATGAGGACTTTCAGTTGTTTGCTTTCTACAAATGTTTTGCGGAGACTCTCAGGAAGATGAGTACCGTTTTCTAAATTGGTTGCATTTCCCAAAAGAATTTATCATATATTTTTGTAATACATAAAAGACAAACAAAAAATCATTGAAAAACCATTTGCTTTCGAATTTTGTGAAGCATAAATTAAATAAAGAATATTTTATGTATTATTCAAGGATCTGCAATTTCAGCTTCCTGACTACTGATTACTTTATAATATTGACCCAGTTTTCCAGGCACTCATCACCTCTTTTTCGAGATCCTAATCAACCCATCTAAATGCCACTCATGTTCCAGAAGTGAGCTCAGCTGGCCATAGGCTCGGACCCAATTATCAGTTGTGATTTGAAAAGGCAGCAGAATAAATCGGTTGAATTTTTTATACACAAATACGAACAAAAAATATAACTAAGGCAAACACATAAAAACCAATTGCCATATGCTCTTGATCTGACCGGACAGTTGACCCCAATAAATTGGAGACCGTAAAACAAGACCAGTTGGCAGGCGGGGAGCAAAGTTCACATGGATGGAGGTGGCGACCCTTTTGCCTTTGCCTTAAAACGCCTGTTGATTTATGCAAAAGGGGATTAGCACAGACCCCCTCCTGGATCGGGTATAAACACAACTTAACCGCAGACATAACATTTCAACTTGTTTTGCCAGAGCAAAGGCGTCTTCTGGAATTTTAAGCCCGAATATGCTTTTGAGCCGGGCATAAAAGAAGACAAATGAGCTAATTTTGCTGGCGGAAAGGATAACAGGATCAGGACATCGCCTTGGCCATAATAAATAGCGCACAAATGTGATATTTATATGCATTTCTTATACAGACGTAGGAGACGACGAAGCGGCGTTCGCCATAAATCTATTGGCGCATTATTACTCATACGCACTGTAGACGCTGTCTACCCTAATATATCAAGGCATTACCAGGGCCTTTATATTTCCAGGTCCTCCTCAGCATTCTTTTCCATCGTCATGGTGTGCCCTTTCATTCGAAATAAATGTACATTTATCTCGGCCCACAATGGCGGTGGAAAGGTTAAGCTATTTAAGTAAACTTAAAGAAATGTTGTCTTGGGATTTATGTCTTAAAATATACTTTTAAAATAATTGAAATGATTTCGTAAGGTTTATATGTATTCCCATGATATCCTTGACAGTTGTGTGGCATACTAATTACCTGACATCGTTATTCCCTTTTGCCAGCTATTCCATAAGTAGACCGCGTTCGAGTCTCGGGATCTCTGTGTGCCAATTTAAAGTTGATTCCCTCGAACAGAGTCAAGAGCCATCAAAGGCCACTCTAAATTCCCCATTCCCGGTGCGGCATGACTTGGGATTTATGAACTCCATTTCGCATGTTCGCCATTGTGGAGATTAATTGCCTCAGCTCCTTCATATATGAATGTATGTGAAGCGCTTGCATTCGCTTCCCTCTGCGGCTTGTTGTTATCATTCAGCAGCAGGCCATGTCCGGGAGCCGAAGCTTTTTGTTCTGGCCAACTGACAGGATGAAGGAGCCCTGAAGGAGTAGTAGCTGGGAAACAGAGCGATAGAAGCGACATCGACAGCCAGCAAAATGGAAGCTATGTTAAAGTCAAAAGCAGCATTCTACTGCGAATTCTCATTGAAACTACAAAAAATATCCAGCACCAGAAAAGTATTTTAATATTCTTATATTAAAAACTAAATTTAAACGAAAAATACCTTACATTTTATCATGCCTTAAACTAAATAAATTTCCCACTTTATTTTCCATTCAATGATGATTTAATTAACTCAACTTTTTACAACTCCCAGACTCGGAAAAAGTTGTTAATATGGTCTCTGGGTGCATTATAGCCAATTAAATGAACCATAATTCCCAACTCCAGACGGGTGAGCAATGCAGGCTGCCTCATCATCGTAAAAAGCTTACCTCCTTTCATCATTCTACTTAAACTTTTCGATGTGGTTTCCGCTCATTGTTGTTGTTGTTTTGAGGTTTTACTGTATTTTAATTGGCTTTTTATTGATTTTCAGCGAGTTAAGAACTGGGGAAGTAGGGAGTTTCTAGGACCGCAAAAGTAGGAAATAAACTTTATAAAAATGACTAAAGTGGGCCAACTTTGGTTGGGAAGCGGAAGTCATTGAACGTTAAATTTATATCATAATTATTGCAGGTAAAAATAACTGGAAGTTACTTATCAGGATTCCCCTTTTGATTAGATGATTGTTAGTCATAATAATTATCTGATAAGCATGTCTATATTTTTTATATTTAATGACTCTCAATGCTTTTTTTACGGATAAGATATGTACGTAAAGATTGGCCTGATAAAGTCCGGCAAAAGTTGAACGAAATCAGTAGCTTACCATGGCTTTAACCGCCAAGAGGTTGGTATTCCTCATCGCTCTGCTCACATTTTCCCTGGCTGTAGGTCAAGTAAAAACCAGTTGTCCTAAGGGTTTTAGTTTCATAGGGGAAAAGTGCTATTATGTGTCTTATGAAAAGGTGGAAAAATATATATTTTAGAAGAAAAAGAAACCCATTTAATAGAATTTTCGCAGGCCAATTGGTTCAATGCCGATCGCAAGTGCCACAACTTGAACTCTTCGCTGGTGATTTTCGACGACGACAAGGACAGGCAGCTGCTGACAGCCACCCTTAAGGTCCTGGGCCTCCCCTTTTCCAACGGCTGGCAGGACTCCATTTGGACGGGACTCACATCTCTGGGCACTGATAGTAATTTCGTTCGCAATCCCAATGGCAAAGCCGTTACGTATACGCCCTGGTGTCCCAATCAACCGAACAGGATCAATCGAAAGGATTGCGTGGCCTATGCTAATTACAATGGCTTCGGTTACCACAATATCGAGTGCGAACTGTACGAGTTTCCTTTTGTCTGTGAAGCTGACACACTGGTCACCGAAAAGTATTTGTGTTTGAGGAAGAAACAATTCATAGAGGTTGACAAAAATATGCCCTGAGTTGGTTATTTATGTATACGAATGTGTGTGATATAAAAAAGTAAGAAAATAAAAAATAAGTTTAGCTATAAAAAGTGAACTTTTTCTAGTCGGTATTTCGCACTCCATACACAGGAAAACCATAGAAGGCCATAAACAAAAACCGGCGGCTAAGCCGATAAAAAATATGTTGACGTTATGGCCAGGAGGAGAAGCGTACTTCGCAACAGGAGAGGCTAGATATCATAAGTCATATTCCCTCCTCTCAAATTTATGGCATTTATCGAGTAGCTCTCAAATTGGCTTGAGTTCTCACGAAAGAAATAATGCATTTTCCTGGCCAAAGAAGAAGTGCAAGCAACAAAAGCTCATTAAAAGGAAAATGTTTTCGCTGCTACCAAAGTTGGGTAAATTGAGAAAATTCCATTGAAATGAAGAAAAGTTTCACTGCGAAGAAACAAAGCGAAATAAAACTCTTAGTCAAGGAAACTAACAAATATAAATCGCCCTTTTGTCCCCCCAAAAAAAAAAACAGAGAACTCATTTAGGGGAATTACAATTGCAATCGCACTAGCACCTGTCCTGGTCATCTTCATCCCCTGAGATTGGCGTGTCCCTGGCACTCATCCTGGCAATCAATCATTCAGTACAATTTTTATCCAAGCCAACTCCCAGCGCTTTCCTTTCACACCTGCCGCCCAAGTTAACCCCAGACTATTAATAAATTGTGTTTAATTAAATAAGAGCTGGCTGACTCTGTGCAAAGTACAAAAGTCTGACATTTTCCTTGGCAAATGCAAATCATTTTAATGCGATTAATTAATATGTGTAGCAGAGGCGGAACTTTCTGTGCCGCCTCAAAGAAAAGCGTAAAGCACACAAGTTGGAAATCATATTTCCCACCGCCCGTCGGTTCCGCTAATGGGCCAAAGAGAGAGCACACACACACACAGGCTGGTAAATTGGGTGCTAATTAAATTAAAAACAAAGTAAAAATAGTTTCACAGAGAAGTCAGCTTCCAGTTTTCTACTCCTCCTTCAAGAAGCGTATGCTTTTCGTGCTCCTCTTGTCCTGTAAATGAGCTTCAACTTGCTGTGCAAATAACGCGTGCTGCCAAGTTACCAAAGTGGAAACAGGCTGTAACTACATACAAATGCGTAATGCACACTGCAAGAAATTTATATAGATATGTTACATTTAAAATAGCATAAAAATTAAAAGGATTTAATGTGCTAAAGTTAAGAATTTTTTGGAATTTTAGTGGTATTTTATAATACAAATTAAATTTATTAAACGAAACATTCCATTAGCTCCAAGTTTTCTCCTACAGTGTCCTTTAAGCTTTGCAAATCCTTAACCAAGGAAAACAATTTCGAATTAGATATGCGCATATGTTTTTGTGCAAATGGCAAGCAACTTAAAAAACCAAAAAAAAAAGTAAGGGAAACACGACAAGAACAAACCCAAAAAACAAGCACTTCTGTGCAGTCTTCTCTGTCTCCAATCCTTTTCCTGCTCCCCTTCTTATCCTATTTAGCTTGGAAGTAACCGCAAGGACCTCGGAGACGGAGTGATTGCAAACAGGATGAAAATGCAGCTAGCAAGACGAGAAAGCCAACAAACTGAAACGCTTGAGTCGAGTGCGATGGGGGGTAACGAGGGGGCACGAGGCAGGGGCAAAGGGCAACCGGAAACGGAAGTGCAAGAAGCTGCATAAGGCCCAGAACCAAGATGGAAACATGGAAGGAATCAGCTGCAGCGCAAGGCTAATGCAGCTGAGCTGCTTCTTAAGACAACCCTACACAATGAAAAATATTATAACAATTTTATAGGTTAAAATTCTACCCAAGTATTTAATGTTTTAATAAAATATTCTACTTTTCAATATGAGATTTATAAAAGCATTAATTTTTTTGCCAGAGTATTGTTTTCCTTATGGACTTTGGTCTTAGATCCATTTACAAAGCATATATAGACTAAAAATTTAAATTTTATAAGATCAATATTATGTCGAAGTATACTTATTTTATATTATTAATTCAACTTGAAAAATTAATCCCTGATTATCAAATTTTTCTCTGTTTATAACCGTTTCTGGTTTTGTTTTTGCCTGAAGCATCCTCCAGATGCAAAGTAAATGCAAAACCACAGCAAATTATGTTGAGAGAGAGGTCGGAATCTGTTTTGGGGCGTTAGGTCTGCGATAAGGACGAGGTAGGATCCTTGGGACCTCCGGCGGAGCCTCTCAAGTGATTTTCCCCGAGTGAAGTGGAAGCCCTGAGCAGGTGTCTGTTTAACCATTATATTTAGTTGCAGGCAATTTGTTCCTTGCCGTGTTTGCCAAGGTAAACTATTTTTACTATCCGGCTGCAGCTCAAAAATTTCACACAGTAGCTTGGGGTTGAAGGACACTAACTTACATAGTTGGGGATTTATTTGTGTTTTGTAACAGCAAATAAATATTTAATAAATAAAAAATGCATGTTTCCTCTTAAAAGGTCTTTCTTTTAAGCAAAAAATTATATTCAATATATAAACAAATATCTAAAAAATTGTTTAAATATGTTCCAACAAAATATTGAAAAACAAATTTAAAAAAATTCCTTTAAAATAATTTTCAACGACTTTAAAATTACTTAAGCATGCCTTAGTTATTTTATTTACTTTACAAGATATTGGAAAATGTCCAAAAATATATACTCATTCCATGCTGTCCAATGTTGTGCTTATTTTCGAGAGCATTTTCCCAAAAAGCTTGGCAGCAGGAGACCAAGCCAAGGAGAACTTTATTAAAATAGCACAAACAGAAACGGAACGAGGAGCCATTGCTCACAGCTCATCATGGAGAAGCGAGTACCGATGCTTGGAGGGACCCAGCTCCTTGAAGGTGGACTTGGCGGGGGTTGAATCCGGTGGCGGACTATCTGTTTTCTTCGTAAACTGGCTGAGAAAGTCATCAAGGAATTGCCTAAGTTTGCCCGGAATATAAAGATCTGAGAACTTGCCAAATGGAAACATAAACTGCAGCGAATCGATGGCTATAATCGGCAGATCCTTGGTGGTCTTGCCCAAGTGGTGCACCGAGTGCCCGAACAGAAGACCGTCCACAGTGGCAAAACTGAACTTGCCCCTCATGTCGGCCAGCTGCATCTGCACGATAGACTTGAAATCCTTGACGGACAGAAGATCATCTGGATGGTGGAAAAGTAGGAGAAGCGGTAGTCCCTGCTCGATTAGCTCTTCGACGGTATGAAAGTCGATTTCCCGCACCAAAGGGACACAACGCTCCAGGATCCAGGGCTCCAGCTCATCCTTATTTAAGGCATTCCCCTGGAATGTTTCATCATGACCATGAGTACGGGTCACATCTGGCCGAAAGATCAGACTGGGCAGAACCGTGGGCACTGCCGATGGATTCCTTTCCCACATAATACCGACATGTTGATAGAAATCACAGTCGTTCCTGAAGCGATCCGCCAGACGCTCGAAAATTGCAATCACCGGATCTTCGGATTCCTCAAAATAAGCGATGATAGACCTTCGACTGGGATCAATGATGGCCAGATCCTTGGTTGATTCGAACTCCACAATCGGTGGACGGAGCTGCAACCGGACATAGGCCACCAGGGCCTCACTGGATCTCTTCCCGCGGAACTCGCGACGCAGCGGTTGTCCCCGATAGAAGAGACGCAACGTGGGCAGCTTCCGGATGTCATAGATCTGCGCCAGCATCGGTTCCTTGAAACAATCCACCTTTCCCAGCTGGACCTTACCCGGCTCGGGATACTGCATTTTAAGCATATTTCCTGCCTGTTCGAAAATGGGCGCCAGGCGATTGCTGAAGGGGCACCAATCTGCATAGAAATTGAGGAACACCACATCGTTCGAGTGCAGGGTGTCATTGAGGTTCGCCTCATCGATCTGTGCCACACTCGAGGTGGCCGCGAGAATGCCCACAGAGTGCTCCAGCAGCAGGAGCAGCAAACTTACACCGAGAGTCAGCATGTCGGCAGCAGAAATTTAAACTTGTACTGACATCGGAAAGTCGGTGAACTTGGATGGGTTTTGGTCGTAAAAACTATGTAAATGCCTTGAGTATACGACTATGAAATTCAAGAAGTATATATAAGAGTACGGAGCAACTAAGGTGAAACAATTTTCAACTAATATCCGTTCTTTAAATCCCTAAAGCATTCCTTACAAAGTAAAGTTCTTCTACATATCGATAAACATTTCGTAAATTACATTTTCAAAGCAAAAGCCACAAATATAACAGACAATTTCCAGAGAAAATATCAAACAGCTTTGCAGTCATTAAAGGGTTAAGTGTCGCCATATCGAGCTGCGAAAATGTCTAACGAAAATAAACAAGGCCAGGACATGGCCCGCTTCCTTCACTCCTTCGGGTAATCGTTTGGACCGGGTGCAAAAGGCTAAGCAAATATTTGCAGCGGCAACTTCGCAAATGAGCTTCAAGCCCAAAAGACAGAAGGCACACAGACACGATGAGGAGTTGTCGCCAGGATTTCAAAAGGACCTCAGCTCTGGCGGAAACGGAAACAACAACTTGCCCGCCTTCTCCACAAGCAAGGATGGATTGCCTGGAAAAGGGGAAGAGGAAGGGAATGTGGAAGGACGCCTGTGCCGTGGCTGCCATTTAATGACATTTTTGCGCCCATTTGAGCTTCCGGGCCTGCTGTCTGCCTGTCGATTTCAGCAATAATTTACTTAAGAAAAGTCTAAATATGTTCCACACCCTTCCTCACCCTTCCCCCTGATCATCCTTCTGGCTCTGGCAATTGTTTATTGCATTTATCTCGTCCGTCTGGAGACGATAAAATGTTGTGAAAATCCAGCGACAATATCCAATAAATCGTTGTCCTTGCAAAAAGGGGTTTGTGGTCTGACCTTCACCGCTCAGAGCTCTCTCTTGTATTTGTGTGGTGTGTTTGTGTTGATTTTTGCCTCCCTGCTTTGCTTTTTTCAAAGGGTTTAATTGTCCTTTTTGTTTCGCTTTTGTGTTGACATACATAGGTGAGGAGCTGTGAGAAGGCTATGTACAAAATAAAGGACTTACCCATATGCTCTTTGCTATATTATGAATGGCTTCGTTCGGTATTTATTGTATTTTCGGGGGTTAGGCCAACAAAAGTGTTAATTAACTTGTATAAATCAGCCGCCGCCGTTGGACTTGTGGATAGGCAGGACGAAGGTCGTAAATTCAAGTAGCGTTAGATTGAAAAGGGATCGAAAGGACTTGTCCTCTGTTTAATTGAGATGAAAGGATAAAATACTTTAAGCCGGGATGAGCCAATGTAAGAATTTATTATAACATATTAGAAAGTTTTACAGTTTTTTGTTAAGGTTTCTGTTTTAATTACTTCTCGACATAGGGATATTCCAACAGAGTTGAGACGCCGCACATATTGCCTTTATTCCTGGCCAGCCTCATGTATCCATTTTCTCCCCAATTCAGTCCAAAGGAGGTTTTCAGGATCCAGTAGCTGCCATTTTTGCAATCCGTACCATAACCCACCACTAAAACAGGTAAGGTTAGGTTTTCCATATCCGATCTGCAATTCTCCTCATGGTAGATTCCTGATTTATATTCTAAGAAAGACTCGTGTTGGTTGTCTATGTGCGCCACCACGGGTCCAATGTTGTACACCAGTTCTGTCAGTCGCTTCTCATCGGAATTGAGATAGGTCACAAGGAACTTCATCCTGCCAGCAGTGGAATTGGAATTGTAGCTACAATTTGATTGGACAGCACGATAGGGATATGATGCCTTGGAAGCGATGCCATGATCCCCAATATAATGAAAGGCATCGTTAGTCTTTCCTTCATGGCAACCATTGTTAGGATGCGGTGCACAGTCGATCAATTGCTGAGCTGATAGCTCCACCAGCTCGTGGTTATTAATCGCCGTGTGAGCCTCCAGAGCACCTACCACTGACATGGCCCAGCTGGCTTGGCACTCTCCCTGATTCTGGACAGGTGAGATATAACCATAATGGCGCCAATCTTTTTCATCCGTAATATACTCATAAAACTTGAAGGTCTCCGGGGATCCCAGATCCACCAAGAGCAGCAGGGAGATAAGCTTTAGCATCCAAATGTAATCCATCGTAGTGATACAATTCGACAACTGATCAGTCTCAGAGAGTCCAAGCTTTTATAGCCCCGAACAGTGATAATGTCTTGTTATCATTTCAAGATGATTTATTTATGGCACTCTTCATTAAAATCAATAAATAATATATTTATTCGTTGATTAAAATTCGGAAAATTCAAACCAAGTCAAGTAATAAATGACAACCTGATTGCCTTATCTTGCAAAATCATATTTATATATTTTTCTCAAACGGAGAAAGATTTTAAAATTCGTATCTTATTTAAGGTTTTCTTGATGAAGTAATCATTGCCGACCCTATAAACCATATATTTTCTTGATCAGAATTAGAAGCCGAATCGATCTAGCTGTGCTTGGAGAAAATAATGTTTTTTAAATTTTTGCAACATTTTGTACATCGTTAAAATAATCAAAAATTGATAAAAATTTTAATTTTTTTACAATTTTATTGAGTATGCAGAATTATTAATTAAATAAAAACTAACATGTGGCAGCTTTCCGATTTTAAATTAATACATTTTTGACTTAGTTATGATGGTTAAAAAGGATAATTTTCTTTAAAAAAAAAACACAAAAAATATTGAATTAAAGTCCCTATAATGGAAATATTTTAGGTTTTTTTGATGAAGTAATCATTTTTGACCCTAGATATGATATGATAGATATCATATATGTTCCTGATCTAATCAGAGATAATTTATTTATAACACGCTTCATTAAAATCAATGTCTAAATAATATATTTTTCTGTCAATTAAAATTGTTAAAATTCAAACCAAGTAATTTATGCAAATTACAATATTTTCCAATGAAACCTTAAGTTTAATATATTTATTTTTTCATTATATCTGTTCGGAGCAGATCGCTAGCGCCTAATTGTGCGCGCATGGGTGTATGGCTGCACCTGCTGCGCTCTTTACTTCTCTTTGTTTATCTATTCCTCTCTCTCTTCTTCTTCTGTCGCCTTATCTATGCTAAGCTACATTTTAAGATTATGTATATATATTGAAGTCAATGATTCGATCGGTAGTTGCAGCTCCGACCAGAGAGAAACCGAAAATAAAATACAGCATATAATCGACCTATTCGTGCGTTCTTAGTTATTGCTCAAGGGTGGCAAATTTGTTGTCTTCCCCATAAACATTTTGGTGACCCCGACGTGATCTTTTGGTTCGGAGCCTGCAACCCGGTGTTCGTTGTTTAATATCATTTAAACAAATCGCTTTGCTTCGCTGTCGCTTACTGGCATTCGGTCATAAGCACACAAGCAAACTCACATACACACATACCTTGTACATAACAAGCTGAGTGCATATAGCCGGCCGCTGATTTTCGTTTTAATCGCGCTGCTTAACAAAAGCTGTGTTGTGCCAAATATTTTAGAGAAAGGTGGCTCGCGCTTAATCGTCGTTAATAGCGCCTATTGAATATATATATTCTTATGCATATATAGCATAGACGTGCGTGTGCCAAAACTCCGCTGTTTCGAGGCAGGCAATTGCAACAACAACATTGTCGAGGTTCCGTTGCATCTCGGTGACGCTGATTAACCTAAATTTGCGCGGTGAAAACTAAACGGGTTGCTATATACCGAAGCGGTCAGACATTTTCCCTGAATTAAATTTTTTCGCGTGAGAAAATAAAGATGGCTACAGAAAATTCGGTTCAGCATCAAAATGAGCCGCCAAGTGACGTGGACTTCTACCGAGCCAAGGCCCAATCCCTTTTGCGGCAATTGAGCTCGATGAATTATTACATAAATCCGGAGACTGTAGATCAGTTTGATGAAGCTGATTTACTGGCGCGACTGGAGTGGATAAATTCGTTAAATTTGGCCTTTGATTCCGCACAGACTTCGCTGGAAAAATTGGACTTTTCGGAGATAGCAAGCGACCATCGGATTGAGTTCTCCACGGCGTTCATGGATGTGAAGGCGAAAATAAATCGAGGTTTAGCGGCGCTTCGCAAATCTCAATTGCCGGCTGCAACCGCTGCAAATTCAACATCCATCGATATTATTAATCATCCGGATCTTTCTTTCCGATCTAGGAAGCCTCGATTGCCAATTTTGGAGATAGCTCGGTTCCATGGATCCTATTCCGATTGGCCGGATTTTATTGCAACGTTCAGCACGGTCATCGGAAACGACGAAGAGCTAAGTGATATTGAAAAATTGCAATATCTAAGGTCAAGTTTAGGCGGTGTGGCTCTAGAGACCATACGTTCGCTTGAGCCCTCGAATGCCAATTATACAAAGGCTTTGGACTTACTCAAAATCGATTTGATAATAAAGTTCTACATTTTCAGGCACACGTACAGGCAATATTTGGGGTAAAAGGTGTCGAGAAGGGATCAGCCAAGGGTCTTCGGGAGTTAAGCGATTGCATGAATTCGCATCTGCGAGCAATCCGTACCATGGCAACTACGCAACAAATCTTGGACGGATTGCTGATTCACATCGTCGCACGGAAGCTCGATCAGAGGACGCGGGAGAAATGGGAAGAGGATTTGTCCATCAACAACCTAGCTACGTGGGATTCTATGGAGTCGTTCTTGCAAAGGAGGTGTAGGATTATGGAAAATTCGGATCAAGCCTTTGTAACGCAAACACCAAGCCGGCAGGTGGGAAAAGCCCTGCATGGGTATAGCTTCATTGCTTCAGTTGGTAGCTCAAATCTTCCCCTATGTACGTTTTGTGATGCGAGGGATCATTATTTGCCAAAATGCTCTCGATTTCTAAATTTGAGCCCGAATCTTCGATTTAGAGAAGCAAAGAAGTTGCACCTGTGCCTCAACTGTTTGCGCAAGGGGCATAGTTTGCAGCAATGCAAGTCAACGCACTGCAGATACTGTCGAATGAAGCACCACTCATTGTTGCATTTTAATCAGGACCCATCTGTACCATCCACCGCCTCATCTCTATCATCCGATCCATTTCCCAACTCTCAGCCATCATCATCACATTCATCATCGCATTCATCATCCCAACCTAATCACCGTTCATCGAACCCTCCACCAAGCCCCACAGATATTTTGCCTGTTGATTACGTGTTGCTTCCAACCGCGATCATATATTTGAGAAACAAGGCTGGAGAATTTATGCCTTGCCGAGCAATCTTAGACTCGGCGTCTCAACTAAACTTCATAACGTCTCGTCTAGCGAATCAACTTAATTTGAATTGTCGAAAGTCGCATACCCTAGTCGCTGGGATTGGGGAATCCTCTCTGAATTCCGATACGGCAGTCGACATTGTAGCGCAATCCCAGGATGCAAGCTATCGTGCCTCATTCTCCGCGGTTGTGACTGACAGTATCGCTGATTATCAGCCTCATTGTAACATAAATGCCACATCGTGGAAAATTCCGCAAAATATTTCGCTTGCTGATCCTCATTTTAATCGTTCAGAGCGGATTGATCTTATAATTGGTGCTGGACTCTTCTTCAAAATAATGGCTGCGGGACAAATTTATTTGGGTAGCGCGTTGCCAACCCTTCAGAACACCAAACTTGGTTGGATCGTGTCTGGAGGGCTGCCGAGTGCGTCAACTCCTCAGTCTGTCTCAGCTGCCGTCGTCAAGGATCCACAAAATCGCCAAGCTAGCCGTTCTGCCCCACGATGCCGATGAAGTTGGAACAGTACCTTTTCCAACGGGGGGAGTATGTTCGGAGCAGATCGCTAGCGCCTAATTGTGCGCGCATGGGTGTATGGCTGCACCTGCTGCGCTCTTTACTTCTCTTTGTTTATCTATTCCTCTCTCTCTTCTTCTTCTGTCGCCTTATCTATGCTAAGCTACATTTTAAGATTATGTATATATATTGAAGTCAATGATTCGATCGGTAGTTGCAGCTCCGACCAGAGAGAAACCGAAAATAAAATACAGCATATAATCGACCTATTCGTGCGTTCGTAGTTATTGCTCAAGGGTGGCAAATTTGTTGTCTTCCCCATAAACAATATCCAAATGAATGAAACAAAATCTTTAAACTGAAGTGCCCTTTAAAAATACGTATCACCATTTCTGATAGACTTTCGCTTGAATATACATTTCCAATACAAGCCGTCAGTCTTAATCATCCTTCTACCTTTTCCCGCGAAACCTGCAGTAGTCACCACCATAAACCATAAACCATTCCTGGATGGCCAATAAATCGGCAAGCTGTAAATCTCAATAATGCGAGGCGGAGCCATTAAAAGTCAATGGAGAGCCGAGCGGAAAAAGAGCTTGTCAAAGCATCCGCATAATTCAGCCGAGACATTTCACGCCAACGCCCTCCGCGAAACCACCCACAATAACCACCCCAAAAACCACCCACAAGGACGACCCATCCTCAAACACCACCTCCTGAAGCCGCTGAGCCCTGGACTGAGCTCATAATTCTCGCGTTTCCTGACATCAGATTGAATTTTCGCCATGGATGCGACTTTCTGCCAAATGATAAATGCATTTTGGCGCCAAAACGATTTGTTGCGCGCACTTTTGCCGCATTGCGAATGCGACAATTTATGCGACTTTGTAATGCAATTCATAAGCTTCTCGTTGCACTCTTGCATCTTGCATCCAAAAGTCACAATTTATCGTAGAGCCAAGTGGCCATCGCAAACAAATAGATTGCCAATCCCAAACTGAAGAAGAACTCCTTTATATGTTAATCCAAATGTTATTTGCAATAAAAATCGGAATGGTCTGTTTGTCTCAAAGAATATATAGATTCATTTTTGCATTGATGATTTCCCGATTATAATTTCAGTAGTGATAAAATGAGCAAAATTTAAAAGTTGAAGAAAATGTTACTACCTGAAGAATGGTTCTTCAACTGACTAACCACTTAAAGGATTTTTTAACAATATATTTCACACCATAACAATTTTTAGCAATTATATTTATAATTGTTTATCTATATATTTTAAGCAAGCAATAATTTTCCAGAGACTAGTGACACCTTCATTAGTGATCTAATGTATTAATAATGAAATAAATGAATTGTATTAATTCTATATCGAACGATAATAAAATGTTGATTGTATTTCTTTTTTAAGAGATTTCTTTAGCAATAATTTTCCAAAGACTAGTGACTCTTTCATTAGTGATCCAATGTATTAATAATATAATATAATAATAGTATTAATTGCATTTCATTTGGTGATAAAATGTTGTTTGTATTTCTTTTTTAAGAGATTTTTTTAGCAATAATTTTCCAGAGACTAGTGATTTTTTTTATTAGTGATCTAATATATTCATAATATAATATATGAATTCTATGAATTCTATTCCATTTGATGATAAAATTTAGTTTGAATTTATTTTTTAAGTGATTTCTTTAACTTTGGGCTTTATTGTTTAATTAAAATATACCCAACTCAATGATATACTTAGCTTATAAAAATATGTATTTTACAAAGGCAATAAGTAGAAACCAACATAAACTTTCCCCCCAAAGAGTGTTTAGCTCACAAGTCAGCTTTCTGTATGACTTTATCCTTATGTGCTGCCCATTTGCATCCTTCTTTCCATGTGGCCAGAATCCTTTCGCCGCCAGCATCCTTTGCTCCTTCCTGTGACAAGTTTAATTATTGCCATACTCCAAAACACAGGAGCACAGGCGCACTTCGGTTTTGTTTGCTCAGTCATTTAGCCAGTCGGTCGGTCGGATTGTCGTTCAACCAGTCTGTCAATGTTGACAGCATCGCGTCGCCATTGCCATCACTTTACGCCTCAATTGGCAGCCGGCGGGGCAAAAAGGGGCGGGGCATTAAAACAATTTTGTTAATTAAGTAGGAAAAATTGTTAGTTTATTTACTCGTCAACTTTGCCAGAGCCAAACATCTCACCCAACTCTCGCCCTCTCTCTTTCCCAATGGTGGGATCTTCCCGCTAAGTTTCAGAGTTTGCTCAAAAATTCTCAAGTGCACAATTAATTAGTAAAGTTAGGACAAAGGAGGGAAAGTGGGGAATGGAGGGAAAAGCCTGGGCCAAAAACAAATGCTCTGAGCAATTTTATACTCTCTTTCCTTGGAATTTATGGCCCATTTTGATTAGACTCGCTGAAAAGCATCGCAAGTTGATGCCAAGTTCTAAAACTATCTGTAAGTAGGCAGTAGCTTTTCCGATTATTTTCCAAGGAAATTGCTAGGAATTTACAGAGTGTGTGCATAGGAAAGAAATTGAAAATTGATTGGGACTTGCATAAGTAATAAGGAGGCTACAATGGAATTTTATTCTTGATTTGGTCTTTTGAAGGAGGCTTATTCGATTGTTTGCGAGAATATTAAATTGGGAGCAAATGTGAGCTCAAAGTTATTTTCTGAAATTGTGAAAAGAATTTAGATTAAAATGGAAATTTTTAATTTCTAGACTTTTTGGGAAAATTAAATATATTTTTGATAGGTAAACAAAAAGGTAATTTTATAGGGGCATACAAAACTCAGCAATATAATTTTAATATATTTAAATATAAAAGGAGGTGGAAAATAATAGGATTATAATATTATATAGAGAATAGTAGAAGGAAATGCATTTTTATAATGGACCAAACGAAGCTTTTAGAGCTTTGGAAATTCAACAAACTGAATGAGCTTTATGTTATGGCATTATTTTAACAGTTAGTGAATGTCACCACCATATACTGCTTGCTCAGTTGAGGAATATTACTGTTATTAATGTTTAAATAAAGTTAATTATTAGTTTAATTAATTTAGCTTTAATTTCAGGTCCCAGATTAAAGAAGAACATTTTTGTAGTTACATTATTTGACAACTTATATCTATATGATAGGGTAAAGATAATGTATTTTATAAATCCATAATTCACTTTTATATCGTGTTGCATGTTTCCATATAACATTCTACCTTTAAAGCTATAAATAAATAATTCGAAAAATCATAATTTTAACTTGTATTTTTGTAATGTTTACAGGAAGTATCCGTTATGCTCCATAACTTGCAAATTTTACTCTGCACTCCAGCTACAAAATTGTTAAAAATATTTATTCGGTCATGCTTAATTAATTTGAAATGTGTTTAATTAGCGAAAGAAAAGGCAGCTTAAATCATTTAATTTGTAAACTGATTGATGGTTATTGCAAATGATATGGAAAACTTGTTTTTTTGCAACATTATTCATTCGGTGTGAATACTGAGGTAATTAGCCAGATGCCAATCGTAATTACAAAGCCCAATTAAAGGGCTTGATTTCGGCAGCCAAGACAATGCCTTCCAGGTGTAACAAAAACTAGTTCAGTATCACTGCAGTTTGGGAAAACCTTATGCAATTGCTTGTTGAGACATTAACAACAAAATGAAGTGAAAAACTAATTGGCTGAAACTAGCAACCATGAAAAGCCAAAGGAAAACTTAAAGAAGGGAAGTAATAGTTAACACCGTTGCCAAGAGACTCTTTTTAAATTTATTTACTTTTAACATTATAAAACAAAGTATAGCAGGCATGCTTCCCTTAATAAAATAATGCCAATAATTATGTATTATGTATTTTCCTAAGCAACAATGACAACCTTGGAAGCCACTATCTTGAACCTCTTTTAAAATAGAGCAACAACCTCTTGTTAAAGTTGTGGAAAACAATTGCGGCGACTCAGGTTTTTTTTGCTACTCACTGCAATGCGGTGTCGTTGTTTCGGTTTTCCTTTTCATTTGCATTCATTTTCCTTTCCACTGAATGGCTTTACTATATCAAAAAGCCATGAAAAGCGTCTTTCCTGCCTGCTACAGTTGACTTTAGCCCCGATTTGCGGTGTTGTAGGCCAACGAGCTCATTACTTTCAATCTATTAAATTAGTCGCCGACCCTACGATGTTTACTTTCGTTTGAGAAAATTGCCTCGGAAAAGTAGTTGATGTTTTCCGCAGTTGTGATCTTTTTCCTGACTTGTTGCGCTTTTTGTGGGCCTATGAACTCCCCTGGGTTCATCTGACCCTTAGCTACCGCTTAAATAATAAACCTAACTATTGTAACCTGGCCTTTAATTGACCCACTACATAGTGGAATTATTTATATTTAATTGGAAATGAAATGTGTGTCTTGTAATAACGTTTAATTTTCATAAGATCAATGCCACAACTTTTAACCAAATAATCAATAATTTTCACAATTTATTTTATTGGGTGGAGCTTTTTTTTTTTTTTATTTTTTATTGCCGTAGATGATGTTGGAGCCTGCAGGTGTCCCCATGTGGCAATCAATAGTTGCTTACAACTATATAGGCAATTGTGAAATTCCAATTAAAGAAACAAAACTGCAGAACACCTAAAACAAAATTTAAATATAGTTAAAGAAAATGTGAAAAGTTTATTAAATAAAATTAAAATCATCTATTTATTACCTCCTAATTTTATACCCTTCCAGGGTATTATAATTTCAGTCTGAAGCTCCCGAAGCAGTGAAGCAGTCATTTTCAACTCTATAAACCATATATATTCTTAATCAGCATAAACAGACGAATCTTTTTAGGCTTGTAGGAAAGGAAAATATTTTTTTTTTCAATTTTTTCATAATTTTATAATTATTAAAATGGTCATAAATTGATCAAAATTGAGTATGCAGATTTATTAACCTAATAAAAACTAACATGTGAAAGGTTTTTCAATTTTAAATAAATACATTTTTGGCTTAGTTATGATGATTGAAAAGGGTAATTTTCTTTAAAAACAAAAATCATATAAAAATATTGAATTTAAGTTGCTATAATGGACATTTTTAATGTTTTCTTGATGAAGTACTTATTTCCGACCCTATAAACCATATATATTCTTGATCAGAATGAAAAGCAGAATCATTTTTTTTTTAATTTTTCCACAATTAAAAAAAAAAAATTGAAAAAAATTAAAATTGAAAAAAATGTATAAAAAATTGTTTTTTTTAAATATCAATTTGAGTATGCAGATTTATTAACCTATTAAAAACTAGCACAGAACTGCTTTTCGTATCAAAAATAATTCATTTTTGGTTCAGTTATGAGTTAGCGTTGATTTCTCAGTAAAATTGCCATATAAAAATGTTAAATATTTTAAGCTTATTTATAAACAATTTAGGATTCGATGGGTATATAAACTTTGGCTTACCAAAGTAGTTTTCTTTCTTGTTATATTGTTATATTTTTGCTATTATTATTATTATTTCTATTTTTCCAGTGCACTCGATCATATGGAAATCGGGGCTTCGGCTACACGCAACTTCTGTGGACATAAAACCGAAAAAAAAAGATGAAAACAAGTGACTATCTGCCTCGCCACAAAGCAATGTCACCCAATCCACGGCGATGGCGCCGGGTCGTTCGTGTCAATTTTCGGATATTTTCCATTCGTTTTCCATTTTCTTAAGCGGATGCAGCTTTTTGTAAAAGCTCTTTGCTGTCGGTGCGCCCCATAGTTTTATAGTTTTGGCACAAAACGATGCGAGTGTGGCGTTCAATTAGACTTACGCCTTCCATTTAACCCCATGTGGGGTTCGCAGCTCCGTGTTACGAATTTAAATGTGAACTTTATATGGCCAAAATGCTGCCCGGCCTTATCGGACTCTCACTGCTGACCCTACTTTCCCTGAATTCGCTCACGGACGCGTGTAAGTGGCAAAGATCGCGCCGGTGATAAGGAGTGTGTTTTGTGATTTGGCTTCCTCGATTTTATTTTGTTATAGCAAAAAACCACAGAGAGGCCTTGCAGTTCTTTTTGCGCAACGGAAATTTCGACTTGAATCCCCTCAACTGTCACATACTGTTGAGGGAAACGTGTCCCAAGAGATATATAGGATTTCAGCTATTTACAAGGTAAGTAGGAAAGCGAAAAGTGTGAAGAAATGTATCATAAAAGGTGATGTGATCTATGTTTAAATTGAAGAAAATAAATTAAGATCAGTGAAGTTATATTTAAATAAAAATAAATCTTAATAAAAAGAAAGGAAAATAAACTGAGAGACTGACGAAATTCCTTTTAAATAAATATGCAATTTAACAAGAATAAAAGTTGATTCAATAATTTATTATTACAGAGACAATTTTAGCTTATCTATAAGTACAACCTTCCTTTGTTCTTCACATTGTCAAACAATATCTGACGTAAACAATGATCATATCAACTTTTTATTTATTATACCTAAATATTAAATATTAACTGAGAGGTTGTATCATAAAATAAATTAAGGTTTTTGTGTCCTAATTCTTCCTTCCTAACTTCTATAAATCCTTATAGCTTAAGTTTAAATAAAACTACTTCACAACGTAACAGCTTTAACGTATTAAGCACATCAATTAAATGTAATTTTTCCAACAACTTCAAAGTTTATATCAACTATCAATGATGTAAAATGGAAATGAGTTAATATTTATGTTAAGACTCGCCTTTATTTTTTCCAATTTACAATATAATAAGTATTTATATGGCTAAATGCCTGTATTTTTCGTGCATTCCAATGAAATACTGAATGCATTTCTTAATAGCGCTTATATATATATTAATTTTTTTTAATATATGGGCAATTGCTCCACGCAAGCCTAGAAACACAATCCGATCTTTCACTTTTCTGCGCCCCAGATTGGGCTGATAAATCGTTTTAAAGTCATGCCAACTTCTTTTAGGCCTTTCCATTTCCAACTTGCCTTGAACCCCTCCCTAACGAGGTTATTGCGAAAGCAATTGGGCTTAAGTCAGTTACCAAAGAGAGAAAAATGGTTCAGCAAAAACAAAAGACTTAGGAAACGAACTTGCCGATTGTCGTCAGAGAAAATTTATAAGAATTTGCATTCCTATATAGCAAAAATGTTATGTAAATAACAAAAGCAGACACCATGAAGAAGCCAATGGCATTGAGCTGAAAAAAAAAACCAAACTCCCAACTCTCTGGAAAACTCATAATCAAAATCAGTGCAGCGTTGCGTGTGCCATGAGTTTTCATTTCACAGACGTCGCCTGCGAGGCAGACACAAAAACCGCCACAAAGGCTGTTACAGAGCAACTCTATACTTATATATTATTTATTAGCCAAAGCTAATGATCGTTATAGAGTCGAACCGAAGCAAAGTCAAGGCAACAAGGCAACGGAGCTGGGACTGAACGCAATTCTATAGCCAGTTTTTTTGCAGTTGCTGCTGCTTGAGTTGCTAATATTGTTGCTGCTGCTGCTGCTGCTGTTGCTGCTGCTGCTATTTTAGTTGCAATTTCTGCTGCTGCTGCTGCATTTTCTTTTGGTTGCGCATTTCACGCTTTTACAGCACATTTGCAGCGCGAAGCGCGAGTGTGCCAGACGTTGGTCTCCGCGTACCAAAAACAAAAAATCAAAATTGCTAATTTCAATGCAAAGGATTACGATGAAAGCGTTTAACAAAAACCAATGGATATCAATTAAGAAACATGTGAAGTCGGTGCCAGTTGTCAACTTAAACGCGACGACAAGTGGAGTGGAATCTGGTTTAAGAAACCAAAGAAATGTGAAAGGCAAATGAAAAACGCGAGCAGGAAGCCCGCGAGTCCTGGAAAAACTTAATAATTCAACGAATTGCGATTTCGCAACAATATAATTCGATTGGTGATCCGTAACAATTACTAATATTTTATTAAAGGAAATTCCAAAATGTGGAAATATATATAATAAAATCCTCATTTAATATATGAAAATCAATAATATGCGGCAACTAACTGAATATAAAGTAGTGTTGAAACAAACAAATAAATAAAACTAAAACAAGTTATAAAATGTATAAAAAGAAACGTGTCTAAATAAATAAAAGGAGATTATTTCATTTAGGCTTCCATCTAAAATTTAAACAAATTATATTCAAATATTTTAAAATAATCACAAACAAAAAATGAAATATCTTGTCGTGCTTTGCATATTCACAATATTCGCCAAAGGTACAAGAAAGCAGTGATCAACACATAAGAAAAAAATAAGAAGTCTTTGTTTCTCAATAAATATGGTGAAATTTTCATAGTTTCTGGTATTTCTTAAATTTACATAGATACGGTTACAACCCATTTCACCTGAAAAATATGTTGTAAATTGTTTACAAAGAATTTAAAATTCGTATATACTATAACTAAACACGCCTAATTTTACCATTTTTTATTGGAATAAAGGAATAAATAAATAAACTAACTTCGGAAAGCCTAAGTTTTATAACCTTGCAGTTTGAAATATAATTATACGATCAAATAGATAATCGACCATAACCAAGCTTAAAATATTTGCATTCTTTAAAAAGATGTTTAACGATATATTTGTATTAAAGTTTTTTATTAGAGATTTATAGGGCCGGAAATGACTCCTTCACTTAGTTTTTGGCTTCTGACTAAAATTATAATACCATTATTTGAGTCGATATTTATAGATGTTTTTATATGACAATTTCTTTGGAAAATAAAAATTTAAAAAGTTCATATCTCCACCGAAATAGCATTAGTTTTAATTCGAAAAGCTGCCCTATGTTACTTTTTGTTAGGTTAACAAATCTGCATACTCAATTAAAAAGTTAAAAAAATCAATATTTGTATCAATTTTTTATAAAGTTTTCAAAATTTTGAAAAAAAATAAATTTTACCCACACATAGCTAGATCGATTCGGATTTTAATGCTGATCAAGAATATATATAGTTTGTAGGGTCGGAAATTACTTCTTCGCTGAGTTTTAAGCTTCTGACTAAAATTAAAATACCCTGCAAGGGTATAAAATTACATAACAAAGGCTACAAGTATTAAGCCATAAAAAACAATACGATTTTAGATGCACAAACCCTGCTGCTAAACCAAAGGGATTGGAAAAATCTGCTCAACAGTGGAGCCTTGGACTTGAATGTCATGCGTTGTTTTTTACGCGACAAGAACTTTTGTCCCAGTCCCCATATCGATCACAGACTGTACACGCCGTAAGTTTGCAGAGGAAAAGGGCTCTTATTAATATTGAATAATTTTTAAACTTTATGCAAATATGTAAAAAGTATCATTTAATGAAGGTAAACAACTTTCTCTGAACGCTTTTGACACTGTCTTATAAACAAGGATAATTTATTACATTTCAAAAGCGATTATTAAAAATTTTTTATGATTCCCCGTTTCGTGAAGAGAGTTTCCAAATTCCTGGCGATGAAAGTTCCTCCTCAGGTGTTAGGCAACTGGAACTGCTTACTCGGTTAGTGTGTCAACTGCCGGTGTATACTTTGTGCAACCAAAAGGATATTGGCTGGCGAAATGCCGAAAAATAAGAGTACATTTAATAGGCGGGCGGGCAACTTGTTTCGCAAAAACCGGCCACTGACCCACTAAGGTGCCAAGATGATGCGCCTGGGAGGAGAAGCCACATTGACCGCTAAACGTGGTTTAACGATGACATCAATTGGTTATTGCCAATTGGCAAATAAAAACTCTTAACAAATGTCGCCTGGAACAGGTAACCCGACTTGTCTGGGCAAGATCTTCCACCTCCGAGGATGAGCCAACTTTTGCAGCTGGTATTGACCATTTTTGGACTGTAGTCGAGCCATTGTTACGGTTACATGGAGTGTTTAAGATAATTACATGATGTTTGTTAACAGATTGATGGTTGTATAACAGCGGAAAATTACCGGATTGACACCTTCGTTCTGGGAAGAGGCTGAACGGGCTTTCTTTTGCAATTATTTAATGTCATTAAGTAGTACGGGGAAAGCAATCTTAACAAGTAGTATAAATTGTAGTTTAATGAAATAATGATGAGGATTTTCTAAGAGGATTCTACCAAGTTAATTATCTCTTTTTCATGGCAACTACTTATCATATTTCTTGTTAAGCGAGGTATATATAGAAGCTCATATATTGGACACCACAGCGAATTTCCCAATATGAAAGCCATCAGATACTGTTCTTTCTTTGGATTATTTGACGCACGAGAGGTTTCTCCGGTTTTATAGCCACTGGGAATGCCGGTTGTGCCATTTTAGCAGCAACAATAAAGTATCTGCTAAGAAATCAACATGAAACTAATTTTAAAAAAGATTAATTAAATTTATAATTCAGAAGACTTTTGTCTAGACTTTTTGTGCTTGTAACTTTTATCAGTTATATTTATAGATACCTTATCTTCCTTATAGCAATGGACCACGTCGAGGGATTGCTTTAAATGTAAAAAATCCATTAACTCTCTATCAGGGTGGTTTCAGCAAGCAGCGAGAAACAGTCTTTATTATCCATGGTTTCAATGGAACATCCATTGATATTCATCTGCAGTTCCTCAGGGACGGTAAGTTGGAAATTAACTTAAAGTTTATACAATAGTGTTACCCTTCTTCAGCCTACTTATCGCGTGACTTCAATGTTATCACCGTGGACTGGCGACCATTGAGTCGATATCCCTGCTACCTGCACTCTCTTATCAATACCCGTCTGACGGCCCAGTGCACTGCCCAGATCTATGCCTTCCTCACGCACTACGGCGCTGTGCGGGAAAGGATCACCTGCGTGGGTCACTCACTGGGCGCCCACATCTGTGGGATGATCAGTAATCATTTGACGAAGAAACAATATCGCATTATTGGCCTTGATCCGGCAAGGCCACTCATTGAGCGCAAGAAGAGCAATACATTCCGGTTATCGCATGATGATGCCAACGTCATCCAGGTGATCCACACCAATGCCGGGTATCTGGGCCAGGAGGACAACACTGGACACCTCAACTACTGCGTCAATGGGGGACGCGTGCAGCCATTCTGCCAGGGAAATACCATTAGTAAGATCTCAATGAATATATGTATAAGAAAACTAATTAGAAAACTTATTTCGATTGCAGGAAGATATCGATGCTCTCACTTTCTGAGTATCTGCTATTTGGCCACGGCCACCTTCAAGCACAAAAAATTCATGGGGGTTCCGTGCCCCAATGGCTGCGTAAATCTTACCGGACCGAAGCGTCTGCCTGTCAGTGGCAAGATCAATCCCTTCGAATTTGCCTCTCTGCTGAGGGAGTACCACATAGGCAATGATGCCCCCGATGAGTGAGTCTATAATATAATAAATAATAAAATATGTAAATTATTTTTAATCAATTCACTTTCAGTGCCCGTGGCTGCATTTGCATCGATGTGCCGTATGCCAAACACTGTCCCTTTGTCAACGCCTAGGAGCCGGGTCTCGATGGGTCGTAATTGTATCATAATAAAAGCAAGAAGAACTAAATATCACTATCACTAGATTTTATAGATTCATGACAGCAAAATTTAGTTAGGTCTTGAGTGCCACTTTAGGTTTTTAACTCATTTCAAAGTTTATCTTGAGTATCTACAATGTCATGGTAACCGAAGGCCACACAGTCCTCTTGGGAAGTTCCTTTATTTGGTTCCCTAGGCACCCAGTACAGGTAGGTAGTATCACCGCTCTTGGAAACCCGGAAATTGCGTCGATTTCCGTAGAAGTTGATACCAATCTAAAAGGAAAAGCGCCAACTACCAGCGAACGTTAGCCCCAAGCTCTTAAGGTATTCTGTCTTGATCTATTCTACTCATTGTCGAAAATCGCAAAATATCCTCCAAGCTTTCGACAGCACGATCTGCCACGTACCAGTTTTCCCAAAAGAATATAATTTTTAGAATAAACAATAAATAAAATAAATAAAAAAATGTCCAACATTTTTGTTTGTCCTGAGTTAGCCAGCTCGATTCAGCTGTTGATGCTAATCAAGAATATATATGATTTAAAAGGTCGGAAATGACTCCTTCACTTAGTTTTAAGCTTCCGACTGAAATTATAATACCATTCTTTGAGTCGATATTTATCTATATTTTATATGACAATATTGTCTTTAAATCACATTTAAAAAATCTCATAACTTTGCCAAAAAGGCCCTAATTTTAATTCTGAAAGTTGTCCTATGCTGGTTTTTATTAGAATATTAAATCTGCATACTCAATTTTTATTAAAAAGTAATCTAAAATTTTATCAAATTTTGGCAATTGTGATAATGTAAATTTTTTTTTTTTTAAATTGGAAAAAAAAATTAAAATTTTTTTGTATCCAGACATGGCTAGACTGACTCGGCTGTTCATCCTGATCAAGAATATATATGATTTATAGGGTCGGAAATGACTCCTTCACTTAGTTTTAAGCTTCTGACTGAAACTATAATATAATTTCTTTAGTCGATATTTATCTATATTTTATATGACAATTTTGTCTATAAATCAAATTTTAAAAATCTCATAACTTAGCCAAAAAAGCACTAATTTTAATTCTGAAAGCTGTCCTATGCTAGTTTTTATTAGAATATTTAATCTGCATACTCAATTTTTATTAAAAGAAATCTAAAATTTTGTCAAATTTTGGCAATTGTGATAATGTAAATTTTTTAGGAAAAAAATTGGAAAAAAAAATTAGAATATTTTTTTTTTAACCAGACATGTCTAGATCGACTCGGCTGCTCATCCTGATCAAGAATATATATGATTTATAGGGTCGGAAATGACTCCTTCACTTAGTTTTAAGCTTCTGACTGAAACTATAATATAATTTCTTTAGTCGATATTTATCTATATTTTATATGACAATTTTGTCTATAAATCAAATTTTAAAAATCTCATAACTTAGCCAAAAAAGCACTAATTTTAATTCTGAAAGCTGTCCTATGCTAGTTTTTATTAGAATATTAAATCTGCATACTCAATTTTTATTAAAAGAAATCTAAAATTTTGTCAAATTTTGGCAATTGTGATAATGTAAATTTTTTTTTTTTTAAATTGGAAAAAAAAATCAAAATTTTTTTGTATCCAGACATGGCTAGACTGACTCGGCTGTTCATCCTGATCAAGAATATATATGATTTATAGGGTCGGAAATGACTCCTTCACTTAGTTTTAAGCTTCTGACTGAAACTATAATATAATTTCTTTAGTCGATATTTATCTATATTTTATATGACAATTTTGTCTATAAATCAAATTTTAAAAATCTCATAACTTAGCCAAAAAAGCACTAATTTTAATTCTGAAAGCTGTCCTATGCTAGTTTTTATTAGAATATTTAATCTGCATACTCAATTTTTATTAAAAGAAATCTAAAATTTTGTCAAATTTTGGCAATTGTGATAATGTAAATTTTTTAGGAAAAAAATTGGAAAAAAAAATTAGAATATTTTTTTTTTAACCAGACATGTCTAGATCGACTCGGCTGCTCATCCTGATCAAGAATATATATGATTTATAGGGTCGGAAATGACTCCTTCACTTAGTTTTAAGCTTCTGACTGAAACTATAATATAATTTCTTTAGTCGATATTTATCTATATTTTATATGACAATTTTGTCTATAAATCAAATTTTAAAAATCTCATAACTTAGCCAAAAAAACACTAATTTTAATTCTGAAAGCTGTCCTATGCTAGTTTTTATTAGAATATTAAATCTGCATACTCAATTTTTATTAAAAGAAATCTAAAATTTTGTCAAATTTTGGCAATTGTGATAATGTAAATTTTTTAGGAAAAAAATTGTAAAAAAAAATTAGAATATTTTTTTTTTAACCAGACATGTCTAGATCGACTCGGCTGCTCATTCTGATCAAGAATATATATGATTTATAGGATCGGAAATGACTCCTTCACTTAGTTTTAAGCTTCTGACTGAAACTATAATGTAATTTCTTTAGTCGATATTTATCTATATTTTATATGACAATTTTGTCTATAAATCAAATTTTAAAAATCTCATAACTTAGCCAAAAAAGCACTAATTTTAATTCTGAAAGCTGTCCTATGCTAGTTTTTATTAGAATATTAAATCTGCATACTCAATTTTTATTAAAAGAAATCTAAAATTTTGTCAAATTTTGGCAATTGTGATAATGTAAATTTTTTAGGAAAAAAAATTGGAAAAAAAAATTAGAATATTTTTTTTTTAACCAGACATGTCTAGATCGACTCGGCTGCTCATTCTGATCAAGAATATATATGATTTATAGGATCGGAAATGCCTCCTTCACTTAGTTTTAAGCTTCTGACTGAAACTATAATGTAATTTCTTTAGTCGATATTTATCTATATTTTATATGACAATTTTGTCCATATATCAAATTTTAAAAATCTCATAACTTACCCAAAAAAGCACTAATTTTAATTCTGAAAGCTGTCCTATGCTGGTTTTTATTAGAATATTAAATCTGCATACTTAATTTTAATTTAAACGAAATATAAAATTTTGTAAAATTTTGGCAATTGTGATAATGTAAATTTTTTTTTTTTTTTAAATTGGAAAAAAAAATCAAAATTTTTTTGTATCCAGACATGTCTAGATCGACTCGGCTGCTCATTCTGATCAAGAATATATATGATTTATAGGATCGGAAATGCCTCCTTCACTTAGTTTTAAGCTTCTGACTGAAACTATAATGTAATTTCTTTAGTCGATATTTATCTATATTTTATATGACAATTTTGTCTATAAATCAAATTTTAAAAATCTCATAACTTAGCCAAAAAAGCACTAATTTTAATTCTGAAAGCTGTCCTATGCTAGTTTTTATTAGAATATTAAATCTGCATACTCAATTTTTATTAAAAGAAATCTAAAATTTTGTCAAATTTTGGCAATTGTGATAATGTAAATTTTTTAGGAAAAAAAATTGGAAAAAAAATTAGAATATTTTTTTTTTAACCAGACATGTCTAGATCGACTCGGCTGCTCATTCTGATCAAGAATATATATGATTTATAGGATCGGAAATGCCTCCTTCACTTAGTTTTAAGCTTCTGACTGAAACTATAATGTAATTTCTTTAGTCGATATTTATCTATATTTTATATGACAATTTTGTCCATATATCAAATTTTAAAAATCTCATAACTTACCCAAAAAAGCACTAATTTTAATTCTGAAAGCTGTCCTATGCTGGTTTTTATTAGAATATTAAATCTGCATACTTAATTTTAATTTAAACGAAATATAAAATTTTGTAAAATTTTGGCAATTGTGATAATGTAAATTTTTTTTTTTTTTAAATTGGAAAAAAAAATCAAAATTTTTTTGTATCCAGACATGGCTAGACTGACTCGGCTGTTCATCCTGATCAAGAATATATATGATTTATAGGGTCGGAAATGACTCCTTCACTTAGTTTTAAGCTTCTGACTGAAACTATAATATAATTTCTTTAGTCGATATTTATCTATATTTTATATGACAATTTTGTCTATAAATCAAATTTTAAAAATCTCATAACTTAGCCAAAAAAGCACTAATTTTAATTCTGAAAGCTGTCCTATGCTTGTTTTTATTAGAATATTAAATCTGCATACTCAATTTTTATTAAAAGAAATCTAAAATTTTGTCAAATTTTGGCAATTGTGATAATGTAAATTTTTTAGGAAAAAAAATTGGAAAAAAAAATTAGAATATTTTTTTTTTAACCAGACATGTCTAGATCGACTCGGCTGCTCATTCTGATCAAGAATATATATGATTTATAGGATCGGAAATGCCTCCTTCACTTAGTTTTAAGCTTCTGACTGAAACTATAATGTAATTTCTTTAGTCGATATTTATCTATATTTTATATGACAATTTTGTCCATATATCAAATTTTAAAAATCTCATAACTTACCCAAAAAAGCACTAATTTTAATTCTGAAAGCTGTCCTATGCTGGTTTTTATTAGAATATTAAATCTGCATACTTAATTTTAATTTAAACGAAATATAAAATTTTGTAAAATTTTGGCAATTGTGATAATGTAAATTTTTTTTTTTTTTTAAATTGGAAAAAAAAATCAAAATTTTTTTGTATCCAGACATGGCTAGACTGACTCGGCTGTTCATCCTGATCAAGAATATATATGATTTATAGGGTCGGAAATGACTCCTTCACTTAGTTTTAAGCTTCTGACTGAAACTATAATATAATTTCTTTAGTCGATATTTATCTATATTTTATATGACAATTTTGTCTATAAATCAAATTTTAAAAATCTCATAACTTAGCCAAAAAAGCACTAATTTTAATTCTGAAAGCTGTCCTATGCTAGTTTTTATTAGAATATTAAATCTGCATACTCAATTTTTATTAAAAGAAATCTAAAATTTTGTCAAATTTTGGCAATTGTGATAATGTAAATTTTTTTTTTTTTTAAATTGGAAAAAAAAATTAAAATTTTTTTGTATCCAGACATGGCTAGACTGACTCGGCTGTTCATCCTGATCAAGAATATATATGATTTATAGGGTCGGAAATGACTCCTTCACTTAGTTTTAAGCTTCTGACTGAAACTATAATATAATTTCTTTAGTCGATATTTATCTATATTTTATATGACAATTTTGTCTATAAATCAAATTTTAAAAATCTCATAACTTAGCCAAAAAAGCACTAATTTTAATTCTGAAAGCTGTCCTATGCTAGTTTTTATTAGAATATTTAATCTGCATACTCAATTTTTATTAAAAGAAATCTAAAATTTTGTCAAATTTTGGCAATTGTGATAATGTAAATTTTTTAGGAAAAAAATTGGAAAAAAAAATTAGAATATTTTTTTTTTAACCAGACATGTCTAGATCGACTCGGCTACTCATCCTGATCAAGAATATATATGATTTATAGGGTCGGAAATGACTCCTTCACTTAGTTTTAAGCTTCTGACTGAAACTATAATATAATTTCTTTAGTCGATATTTATCTATATTTTATATGACAATTTTGTCTATAAATCAAATTTTAAAAATCTCATAACTTAGCCAAAAAAGCACTAATTTTAATTCTGAAAGCTGTCCTATGCTAGTTTTTATTAGAATATTAAATCTGCATACTCAATTTTTATTAAAAGAAATCTAAAATTTTGTCAAATTTTGGCAATTGTGATAATGTAAATTTTTTAGGAAAAAAATTGGAAAAAAAATTAGAATATTTTTTTTTTAACCAGACATGTCTAGATCGACTCGGCTGCTCATTCTGATCAAGAATATATATGATTTATAGGATCGGAAATGCCTCCTTCACTTAGTTTTAAGCTTCTGACTGAAACTATAATGTAATTTCTTTAGTCGATATTTATCTATATTTTATATGACAATTTTGTCCATATATCAAATTTTAAAAATCTCATAACTTACCCAAAAAAGCACTAATTTTAATTCTGAAAGCTGTCCTATGCTGGTTTTTATTAGAATATTAAATCTGCATACTTAATTTTAATTTAAACGAAATATAAAATTTTGTAAAATTTTGGCAATTGTGATAATGTAAATTTTTTTTTTTTTTTAAATTGGAAAAAAAAATCAAAATTTTTTTGTATCCAGACATGGCTAGACTGACTCGGCTGTTCATCCTGATCAAGAATATATATGATTTATAGGGTCGGAAATGACTCCTTCACTTAGTTTTAAGCTTCTGACTGAAACTATAATATAATTTCTTTAGTCGATATTTATCTATATTTTATATGACAATTTTGTCTATAAATCAAATTTTAAAAATCTCATAACTTAGCCAAAAAAGCACTAATTTTAATTCTGAAAGCTGTCCTATGCTAGTTTTTATTAGAATATTAAATCTGCATACTCAATTTTTATTAAAAGAAATCTAAAATTTTGTCAAATTTTGGCAATTGTGATAATGTAAATTTTTTTTTTTTTAAATTGGAAAAAAAAATTAAAATTTTTTTGTATCCAGACATGGCTAGACTGACTCGGCTGTTCATCCTGATCAAGAATATATATGATTTATAGGGTCGGAAATGACTCCTTCACTTAGTTTTAAGCTTCTGACTGAAACTATAATATAATTTCTTTAGTCGATATTTATCTATATTTTATATGACAATTTTGTCTATAAATCAAATTTTAAAAATCTCATAACTTAGCCAAAAAAGCACTAATTTTAATTCTGAAAGCTGTCCTATGCTAGTTTTTATTAGAATATTTAATCTGCATACTCAATTTTTATTAAAAGAAATCTAAAATTTTGTCAAATTTTGGCAATTGTGATAATGTAAATTTTTTAGGAAAAAAATTGGAAAAAAAAATTAGAATATTTTTTTTTTAACCAGACATGTCTAGATCGACTCGGCTGCTCATTCTGATCAAGAATATATATGATTTATAGGATCGGAAATGCCTCCTTCACTTAGTTTTAAGCTTCTGACTGAAACTATAATGTAATTTCTTTAGTCGATATTTATCTATATTTTATATGACAATTTTGTCCATATATCAAATTTTAAAAATCTCATAACTTACCCAAAAAAGCACTAATTTTAATTCTGAAAGCTGTCCTATGCTGGTTTTTATTAGAATATTAAATCTGCATACTTAATTTTAATTTAAACGAAATATAAAATTTTGTAAAATTTTGGCAATTGTGATAATGTAAATTTTTTTTTTTTTTAAATTGGAAAAAAAAATCAAAATTTTTTTGTATCCAGACATGGCTAGACTGACTCGGCTGTTCATCCTGATCAAGAATATATATGATTTATAGGGTCGGAAATGACTCCTTCACTTAGTTTTAAGCTTCTGACTGAAACTATAATATAATTTCTGTAGTCGATATTTATCTATATTTTATATGACAATTTTGTCTATAAATCAAATTTTAAAAATCTCATAACTTAGCCAAAAAGGCCCTAATTTTAAATTTGAAAACTGTCCTATGCTAGTTTTTATTAGAATATTAAATCAGCATACTCAATTTTTATTTAAAAGAAATCTAAAATTTTGTCAAATTTTGGCAGTGTGACAATGTAAATTTTTTGAGAGAAAAAAAAAGAAAAAAAAATTGAATATTTTTTTGAACCAGACACGGCTAGATCGACTCGTCTGTTTATGCTGAACAAGAATATATATGACTTATAGGGTCGGAAATGACTCCTTCACATTTTTACAAGCTTCTAATCTAGGATCGTGATTAAAATAAATATCTGGTGTTGTGTATGTTTGTTACCCGTTTTCGAATTTATTGAAGGGTATGATTAGGGTAAGAACAACTAAAATAATTAACATTCTTTTATTCGGGTGAATTATTTATTGGCTGCAATACTAATTTAGTATTTAAAAATAATTATTTATATATTTTATTTCTATGAACAAAGAACCTAAGATTACTCTTAAAAGCATCATTATCTGATGGCTATTACCATTCATAGTTTTGTTATTGTGCTGGAAAACAATTTACATTTTCAATGTTTTTCATGTACAAAAACTCTATTTTTAAAAACTTGAATCCACATTTTTCCAGCTAGACATCTTTTACTGCGGCTTCTTGGCCAGTACTTGGACCCTTTCCAGAAGCTGTGCTCGCTTTTTGCCGCCCTGGGCCAAAATCCTTTGCAGCAACTTGAGCTCCTTGGGGCTACTGCTGCCGGCCTCCTCCTCCAATTGCGTCACATAGCTGACCAGTTGCTTCTCAAACTCCTTTGCAGACGCATTATTATCCTTGAAGGCGGTTTCGAGTCGTCGGAACTGTTCGGCGAGTAGGTTGAGGATTTGTACCCGTCGGAAGCTGCGTGTCTTCTTTACGTTCAAGTGGGAGGCCAGAAGAGCGGCCAGGGGAGCTACTCCCCGCCAGTTGTCGGCCTGGAAGAGAGCCTCGAAGCTGACTAGGGAGAGGGTAGTTCGCCGGTTGGCAACCCACAGATCCAAGAGTTTAACCAGCAGAGGCCACACAACACTTTCCTTGGGATTGTCGGCGCCGGACGCCTGGACCACCAGGTAGGCGAAGCACTTATTCCTCCACACGGTGACCTCGCCCTTGGCCTTGCGAGTGGGCTGCTGCTTGCCGGATGCCTCTTGCTTCTCTTCGTCGGGCTGTTCCTCCTCGCCTATGGCCAGCAGCTGTTCAATGTCCTCCAAAATGGGAGTCTTATCCTGATTGGGTTCGAAGGCAATGTTCTTGGTTAGCAGCTTCTTAAGCAACTTTGTGCTGGCTTCGCGCAGCGACTGCAGTTTGGTATCGGCGCAAGAGTGGCGGTACACCTGGAAGACGCAGATCAGCGCGTCCAAGATAACAGCTTGCGTTGGCTTCTCGTTGGCATAGAGCTCAACGAGGTCCAAAGCACGAATGCGGAAGTGCAGTAGGCTGGTGCTATCGATGCGTTCTGATTTCGTAGGCAATTGCTTGGCCTGCAGCTTGGCCGACTTTGGTCGGCGCAACTGGAAGGCATTCTCCAAGGCTGCGTTAATGCGCTGGCCCTTTTCCTCGCTGACATCGTTCCAATCCACGCTGCTGGCGTCATCCTCATCGGCCTCGCCATTGTCGATCAGAGCTAGGCGAACACGTTCACGGATTTGGTCCAAACGGGACTCCTCATCATCATCATCATCCTCATCTTCATCCTCGTCTTCTTCCTCATCCTCCTCGTCTGATTCATCGCTGGAGTCAGCTTCTGCCTCCTGTTCCTCCTCCATTTCCTCATCGCTGTCCTCTTCGGCTTCGTCCTTCTTGCTCAGTGGATTCATGTTCATGTTGAGCACTTGCAGGATTTGCTCTAGATTACCGTGCTCCAAGTGGGGAATCAGCGGAATGGCCACGAGATTGACCAACTCCCGCCAGTAGTGACCTGTTTGGAGCAATAACTGCAGCAGCACGTCTGTCAACACATCCTGCCATTGGAGTTCATCACCATCTTGAGTCTTCTTCTTCTTGTTGCTCTTCTCCAGGGCATTCTTCCGGCAGATGATCAGATCCTCCACTATGGATACCGGCAGCGGACTCTTCGTGCACAACGCCAGTGATACGAACAAGATCAGAGCCTCAAATGTTTGACCTACAATGTCTGCCTCCTCGGCGGGCTTTGCTAGTAGTTTCTCCACCTGCTTCCAAGCCTTTTGCAGCGCCTCTTCTCGTGGTGAACGCAATTTGTTCTCGGTTTCCGGCTTGGTCAATTGCTTGTTGAGAAAGCCCAAATGCTTTTGCAGCAGCTGGCACAGCGCTGTTAGGCTGGAGCATTTGTGCAGCAGGGAACCCATGAAGATCTCCTCACACCGAGCGGAGCACTGCCGACTAAAGGAGCTGGCCTGGCTGGGCAGACAGGGTTCGTGGCTAGCATCCAAATGGAACAGCCCGGCGAGCATTAGGTGACGCAACTGCTTCTGCCGCCACTTCGTCTCCTGGTCCAGTTTTGTGTGATGCAGAATGAAGTGCATCTGGTTAAGGCAGTGCTCACGGCTCACCCTGTCCTCATCCTCCAGAGTGCCCAGCAGATTGCTGTAATGATCGTAGAGCTTCTGCAGACCCTCGGCATCCAATTGATTAATTAACTGCTGAGTGAAGCGTGGCATACTGATAAGAGAGTCAAACTGCAGCCTCTGTTCCAGAAACTTGAGGAGCAGCAGCAGCTTGATGTCTCCATTCTGCAGCTGCTTTTCGTAGCTGATAACCAGGGATCCTTCGAACTTGAAGCAAATCTCACGCAGTTCCTTTTGTGATGGCTTCCGGGCCTCGCTTCTGTCCGCCTTCACGGACGAGAGTTCCTGCAGCAGGAATTTTAGGCAGGTGGGGGTAAATAGATCCAATATTGGCTGTTCGTCCTTGTCCTTATAGCTGAGAAGTATGTTGGCCAGTACTTGAAGGACACATGCCTTAGCTGCATTCAGCTTCAGCGGCTGTTTGGAGTCAGCAAACTGTTGCCACGCGGAGAGCATCTCCTTGCCGCCGGCTGCCAGAAATTTTGCCAATCTTGCATAGACACCATCGTTGTGGATGGTCGAGCCCGCGAGATAAAGCTCGAAGAGCTGTCCAAACTGTGGTTTCTTGGGCCATAGACTGGCCAGCAGTTCGTCGCGTCCCAAAATCGAGGGATAGGTTAAATGCACGGTCAACAGAAGGTCACATGTGTTTAATTTGAGGCCGCTGCTCAGAGGCTTGTCCAGTTGCGGCTTCAAGAGCGGCCACACGTACTCCTCAAAGGTGTCAACGGGCAACTAAGGAAATTAGCAGATTAATAAATTTGATTAGGCAAGCGGAGATTATGGTACCCACTTTCTTAAAGGACTCAACCAGAATGTCAACGCACATGGAGACCAAATACTCGCGGCCTTTGAGATGAGCCGCCAGGATTTGGTAGACCGCTGTCACCAGCTTAGGCGAAGCCTCGGCAAACTGCGGCGTCTGCAGGATACACACGGCAGTAACCAACTGACCCACAGCGGCTAGAGAGTCCTCCTTGCCCTTTTGCTGGCTTCCAACGGCGAGATCCCTCTTCAGAATATTGAGCACCTCCATTGCATCAAGGCCCGGCACGGCGCTAAGGATGCAAAGGATGTAGCTGGAAGCTAAGGCTACTGCCTCCAGATCATCGGCTCCCGTGGAACGGATCAAGCGCTTCAGAACATAACAACAGGTGGCCGTGCGCTGTGAAAAACAGAAAATTAGCCATAGTCAAATCTATGTAACTATATAGGTACTTGTTGATCATTGGTGTCATCCCGGAGCAGAACCACCAACGAATTTATCGTCTTTTGGGATAGGGTGCTGTTTTGAAGCCGCTTGAACACTGGAAACACCGCTTTGTTAATATCGGACAACTTGAGGCCATTGTTTGGCGTGTTGTTCTCTTTCTCCACCTCGGGCTCCTCCGTCTTCTTCTTCTTCTGTTCCTTGGACAACTTGGCTATCTTTGCCGGGTGCTCAGCTTCGCCTCCATCGTCTTCGGACTTGACTGTTTTTGGTCTTTTCCGCTCCGCCTTGTCCTTTGTCTTGCCCGCCACACCATTGGTTAGGTTTTTAGCCGCCTTGATCTTCATAGTTTAGTGGCAAATTGAACTTAATTAAAATAATTCTGGAGCTCGGAATCTGCTCTCCCGTTCGAAGAATGGAGCACGTTTTCCGCAGGCAGCGTGTTTTCAAAACACATTAGCGATGGCACACGGTGCTAGTGGTGGGCGATATCTATTGAATGGTGACCAGTTGAACACGATAATTAAATTAATTAAATTTGATTTCTAAGTTTATTTAAAATTGTATGCTGTTTTTGTAGTTTAACCCTAAATAAATAAAAAGTCATATTATTAATTACCAAGATCTACTAAGATATTATTTTAAATAATTTTAAATTCAATGTGCAGATAAATGCCTCATAAAAACAAACACTAAACAGAGATTAATGATTATTTAATTTATTTTTGTCATCTTTAATCGAATTAATTTTCAACAAATTATTAAATAAAAATATAGAATATATCGAATTGAAATATGCGATGTCTTCAAAATATCTTATAGAATGGTATAGAACAAAAGCCGGCAATTGCCAAAATCAATATATTTCCAATAAAATTTAAATATATAACGCAGATTTATTAACTTAATAAAAAAGCTAACACTTAACTAAACCCTTTTTTAAATTAACTTTTTTCTAAACTTAGATTGCCGAAACAATTATTTATAAAAAAAAACAATAAGTACCAATATACTGCACTTACAGCAAAAACAAGCCAAAATATTTACATATATTTCGATTCCAAAATATTATCCAAATTACTTAATAAGAACTATTCACTTAATTTTTAAATCAATTTTACCCATTTAAAAAAATTAATATTCCGATTTTTCGGGATAAAATATTGATGGTGTCGGCGTTTTCAGAAAAATATTTTTAATTATTTAATAATTTTTTTTTTTTATATAAAAAGAAAACTTTAACTTTTTTTAAGTGCATAAAATCAATGTTACCGTCGGTAGTTTTTACTACAGGTATTTTTTGTACCAATGGAAACGGTCACACTGCTTTTCTCATCTGCAAAATATTTACAATTAAGAGAACAAAAACGTTTATTAAACTTAAAATACTGTCATGGGATGCGATGGTGGAACCATTCCTAGGCGCGATGAGCTGGTGCGCGTAAAGCAGAAGCCGGAGCAGGTACGAAAAATCCCCCTAAAACCCCTTCACACGTCTGACTAATATGCGCACTATGTAGAAAGACAAAGATGCTGAGAGGGAGTTCCGCTGGCGTCACTGTACCTTGACACAGCAGAGCCTCCAGGAGCCAATAGCCATGTGCGGCATGGGCAGACTCTACTCCAAGCAGAGCGTCATCGAGCGGTTGTTGGAAAAGGAGAAGATGCCAGAGACGGCCTCGCACGTAAAGAGCCTGAAAGACATCCGCCAGTTGCAGCTCACTCCTAATCCTGCCTTTACGGAGGAAGACAAGACGGAAGGTCTACTGGATACACGCCATTCGCCGTACATCTGCAAGCTGATCGGACTGGAAATGTCGGGCAAGTTCAGGTTCGTGGCCCTATGGAGCTGTGGATGCGTGATGTCTGAGCGCGCGCTGAAGCAAATCAAGGGGAATGCGGCCAGTACATGTCCCCTGTGCCAGGCGCCATACAGCGTCAAGGATGTGGTGGTTCTCAACGGCAACGATGAGGATCTCGAGCTGATGAGAGTCAAGATGGAAATGCGTGCCGCCAAACGGAAGTCAAAATCAAAGAAGGACAAGAAAGAGTCTAAGACAGAGATCAAAACAGAGCCCCAAGAGGAGACCCAGGAGCCGGCGCCCTCCACATCCAAGAGCATAGCATTGGAGAAGCCCACTACCAGCTCGAAAATCAAGGCTGTGGCAAATCCCAAGCGACTGGGCGCCGTCAACGCCATGCAAGATCCCGAACTCAAGCGTTTGAAGAGTGATTTCAGCGTGGCCAAAGATCCAAAGGCCAGCGACGTCTACAAATCGTTATTTACCTCCCACAAGACGGAGAAAGAGCAGGAACGTGCTCACTGGGTCACTTACAACCCTTTTTACAATTAGTTTAGTGTCTAGATTGTAGCTTAGGTTTAGATTGCTGTTTCCCTTCAGTCAGTCTAGGGAGTTGTCCATATATAGCTGGATCGTATAAAACTAACACAGATTTGAGTAAAATAAAACCCGACAATGTTTCGATCAGCTTACCAAAAGGGATTTCTCACCGTGTTCTACAGCGTGGGTAGCTCGCCCCTCGACAACTGGTCATCCTACGTGAGTATACCAAGCTAGTCTTTACTACCCAATGCCACCAAAACGATTTCCCGGCCATGCAGACCAAAAATGGCTACATTAAACGCATCTATGATGAGGATATTAAGTCCCTGGTGCTCGAGATAATGGGCTCTAACGTGTCCACTACATTTATACACTGTCCTAGCGAGTGCAAGCAGCAGCTGGGTATCAAGCTGCCCTTTCTGGTGCTCCTCATCAAGAATATGCACAAGTATTTTTGCTTTGAAGTCAAGGTAAGCTGACAAGGCATTTATTTTTAGGATTTGTTAGGGTTCATGGTTTTTTCTAATTCTCAGATCCAAGACGATCAGCGCTTCATGCGTCGTTTCCGCGTGTCCAACTTCCAGAGCAAGACTTCCGTGAAGCCATTCTGCACCGCCATGCCGATGGGCATGTCCCCGGGCTGGAATCAGATTCAGTTCAATCTGGCTGACTTTACGCGCCGTGCCTACGGGTCCAACTACCTGGAGACAGTCTCCCTGCAGGTGCACGCCAACGTGCGCATCCGACGCATATATTTTGCCGACAAGCTCTACACAGAGGCGGAGCTCCCTAATGATTACCGTCTGTTGGGCAAGCCCAAGGACTTTAAGAAGCCGGAGAAGCAGTTCAAGGTTCAGGCCAGCGCCCGTCCGCCGTCCCCGTTGAATACAGCCCGCGGTGAGTCAGGCCCAGTGAAGGCTGAGAAATCTGACGGCGCTCCTGTATCCGAGCCGGCCACAGAAGCGTACAGCGAGCCGGAGCCAGTGTTGCAGAAGGCGCCCTCACCACCACCGCCAGCCTCAGAGCCAGAGCCTGCTGCCGCACCTGCCGCCGAGGAGCCAGCTCCCCAAACGGAGCCCACTGAGGCAACCGAGGCCTACTACTAAAAGTTATTGTTTCTATGTTATTGTTAATTTTCATTGCGTTGACAGAGACTGGAAGTGGGCAGTGGACGACATGCTTAAAAAATTTCTAGTCAAAGACAATAAAACGTCGAATTAAACCCGCGTGGACTCTGAACCGAAATAGTTGCTTTTGATTTTGTAATCTCCTGGATTCGGGATCCAGGATTTACCGTCACAACAAATCTTTATTTTAACCCTCTTTGACTCTAAACAAAATCGTTTTTGTTACATTGGGAATTTGCTAAAATATCTTAATTACAATAAGCCAGCTCAGTTATTCCGAGCTCTTATCCGTGGCCATCGCCAGCATATCCGCATCGATGTTCTTGAGTGCATTGTGGTACTCGGTTATCTCCAGCGCCTCCCACTCAGCCTTGAAGGCCGCCTTCGGGTCCTGGGGCATGGTCATTGCAGCGCCAGTCATGGCATCTGCCTGGGCCTGGGTCTGATCGGCGTGGTTGTTCTCGCCAAGGACAAGTGTGTAGATGGAGCGCAGACCGAAAACATTAAGGAAGTACCAGGAGGCTGAGGAGACCCAGGCGGCGTCCAGAGAGGCTAGCTCCACACCCCGCTGCAGCATGGGCTTAAAGCGCAGAGTCAGCGGGAAGGGGACCTTGGTGGTGACGAAACCCGAGAACATCCAGTTGATCCAGCCGCCGATAATCACCATGGGCAAGACGTTGATGAAGTTGCCCTTGACCATGTCCGTAAGCATGGCGCTTGAGTTCTGGGCCGCTGGCGCTCGCTTTTGGGTCTTGAAGTAGCCGGTCTCCTCGTTGTTGAAGTAGTTCTTTCGCATGGAGAAGCTTTGGGCGCTCAGATACTTGCCATTCTCGCGCAGCAGTCGCGCCCGGATCATCGCTTGGCTATGGAGGACAGTCATTACTCCAACTGCCCTTTGAACGGCAATCGGTCCACTCACCTGTCCTGGATCTGGGTGATCTCCGCCTTCTTCTGTGTGGATATCAGAATGGAGACATAGTGGCGCACAATGCCCACAAGGAACGTGATCAGCACGATGGGCAGAAATACCCACACGCGGATGTCCGGGTCAATCAGCAGTTCGGTCATATTTTAATTTATTAATAAAATTTTCCAATTTTTTTCACCCCAGTTTCCAGCTGTAATCAATGTGGCCGTCTGCTTTTCCGCCTTAAATGCCGCTTCGCGAAAAGTGCGAATCAGCGCTTTCAGGCAGCAAATGCATTATCCAACACTAGCAGAAGAACCAAGTTTGTGCATTTTCAAACACTAGGAGCTGAATGTAAATCTTTGAGCGACGCCAGCCGGAAAAAATCTCAAAGGATTTCCTCGTACTACCATAGCCATGGACGCTCCCATCTCGCCGGCGCCAACCCCGAATCCGCCCACAGAGGCTGCCAAGGAGCAGAACAGTTCCAACAACACGCAACAGGCCACCACAGTCGCTACGCCGGGAGCAGCAGCAACCGGAGCCACTGCCGTCCAGTCCGCTACCGTGTCAACACCCGCGGCCCAGCAGCAACAACAGCAGCCGCCCGCCAAAAAGGTCAGCGGGGAGACCAGTTCGCTGCCCACGCGACAGTACCTGGACCAGACTGTTGCCCCCGTCCTGCTCCACGGCCTGCAGGCGCTTGCTCGTGAGCGGCCAACGGATCCCATTCAATTTCTAGCCTCCTACCTGCTGAAGCACAGCAACGGCTGCGAGGAGAACAACGGAACTGTGGCGGAGAACAACCCATAGGCTCTCCATTCCTCTCCCTCCTTTTCTTCATTAGGTGTGTAAGTGATTGTGTGCAGAAATAAACGTTTAAAATTAGTATATAATCGCAAAAACACACACAATCTATGTAAGTAATTCCAGAGTCCCGCCTCCTAGGCGGTTATGGGGTAGCCCCAAGGATCCAGCTTCGAATTGAGCAGCTCCAGCGAGGCGTCCGCAATCTTGGCCATCAAGTCGGCCAGCTTGTGCTTCGTATAGACTTTGTACAATTGCCGTTTTCTGCAGGCTATCTCATCTGCCAGTCGCACGCAGCCGGCATAGTCGCGCGTCTTAAACATTACGTCGTGCAGCAGAAGTGTGACCTCAGGGATGCAGTTGGCACGCAACTGCTCCATTTGCATCTGTCGTTGCTCCCAGTTTAGTTGCTTGGCGTTCTCCGGCTCCTGAGGAAGGAAGGGATCTACCAGCCATCCCTTTTCCGGGAAGAGCAGCACATTGTACAGAGCTTCCTTGGTTTCTGCAGAGATGAGAAAGGAGATGTAAATGTGTGTAGAGGGTGTTTCTAGAAATGGAACTTACGCTTGGCATGCTCCTGGACCTTGTGTTCCCAGCGCTGGACTTCGGTTCTGTAGGCCTGCTCCTTACGCTCGTTGGCCATGCGTTCCGTAAAGTTGTCCTGCGCCGAAGAGGGCACCAGCGTCGGCGACTTCTTCGGTTTGTTCAGCTGCATGTGATTCCACTCCATGTAGCTGTCGATGCCCGTCAAGTAGACTTTGTAACACAGGTACTCCTTCAGGCTGCACTCCTCGCGAGGCGGAACATTGTCCATCGAGCTGTAAATGTTCACCACGTCTTGGACCACATCACCGGGCACTTTGCGGAATGTCTGGCGCATGCACTCCACCTTGTTGCATGCCAGATATATGCGCATCATGGCATTGGCCTGCCACAACAGCTCGCCACGCTGCTCTCGCAGCGAGACAAGCCACTCCAGGGCCGAGATCTTGCGCTGATCCTCGACCGAGATCTCGCCAGACGGTGGTTCACCCAATTCCCCGAGCGAGATATGAGTACGTCGAACGTTCTCTACTGTGATTCGTGTGATTTCCTGGACATCGAGCCCGGACTGCAAGGCGGCATCCAGAGCCAACTCCCGCGCCCGCTTTTCCTCCACCTGCTGCAGGTAGCGCGAATATAGCTGAACCTGCAAGGGATTCGAAAGGGTGGCAGCATAGAAGGCTATCAAGTGGGGATCTCCCCGCTCAATCAGCGCCTCCACATAAGAGCCGATTATTTTCTCCGCCAGTCTATCCTGATCCACGCGACCGATCTGACGTAAAAAGAGCACGATGTGCGCCATAAAACGCAACTGGTGCGGTTGCAACTGGCCGGCAGCTTCTTCTAGCCAGCGCACCATGTGCTGCAACAGCTCGCCACAGGTGTCCAGGATTAAGTGGCGCTGGATGACACCCATTTGACTCTTGGCGAAATCCCTCACGGACGCATCCTTGGCCACGCTTAGCTCCTCGAATATTTGCTCCATGGTCATCTTGCTGTTCCAATAATCATCGGGCATTGGTTGGTAGCGCTTCCCGCAACAGCCCCGGACCTCGGACTCTACACGCAGATCTATCTGCACCTTGAGATGGGCCCATAGCAGGTCGTGCCAGTTGTTGCGCAGCAGGGACTTAAGGGAGCCCAGGTGGCCGCAGAAAGCGCCAGCCGTGGCCCGAGTGTACTCGTCGTATCTGCTGGAATCGGCCATGAGCCAGGCACACCGCTTCCATATATCCCTCCTCGGATTGCCCATGATGGGCAGCTTTTCCCGGACGACCGAGCTACTCTCCTGAAAGTTTGGATCTTCGTGGAGGCGCCAACCCTCCAGAATGGCGACACGCCAAGTCTGGCCGTAGTGTTTGCATAGCCTTAGTCCATCGTCCACTCGTCCCGACCGGATGGCCATAAAGATGGCTCGGGAAAGGCGAGCATTGTCCTCCTCGTCGACGGCGTGCAGTGGACGCTTCTCGCGAATGGGTGCGTCTGGATCCAGGTGCTGTACGATCTCATTACCGCGGCCAAAGGCGGCGCCCTGCAGGTTCTTTAGCTCGAAGAGTGTATTCTCCCAGGCCATCATGCGGTGACTGTGTAGCGGGTTTTCCTGCTCCCCGGGCTCATAGCTGGCCTCCAGCCAGTCTACCACCAGCTGGTACTCCCTCAGTGTGGCATTGATCTCGTACAGTTGTTCGACCACCGCTTTCTCGCTGCCGCCAAGGGTGGGGCCGTCCTGCATCTCGTCGTCCGCCTGGTTTTCCGTTTGCAGCAGAATGCGATCTTTGAATAGAGCGAAGAGCAGACGCCATGTATAGATCTCCTGGCGCAGCCATGCCAGGATGGACTGGCGCTGTTTGGCGCCTTGTGTCCCACCCATGCCGCGCTCAATTTCCAGCTCCAGCTGCTCGGCGGCGCCGCCACACGCCATCATCAGTCCCTGGATCACGTCGAAGGTCTCCGGGCCGCCACTGTGCGACAGCAAAACTTCAAAGAATTGTGGGAACAGCACATCAACACGGCCCATGCCACGGTCCATGTCATCTCCGGTATCCTCGATCATCGATCGGTCATCCATGGCCGCATCACTGCGTTCCTGGAGGAGTAGCGAATGCGACAGGTTCTGCATCCCGCTGGAGCTGTTGAGCGTGGTGCGCAACAGGCCGCTGCGGCTGCTTATCGGGAACGGACTGGCCATTGCTCACCTGCAGTACCTTTTGTCTCTCTTTAATCTCTTTAACATGAATTAAATCAAATAATAATGAAATTAAGAGCCTGGTAAAAATGCCGGGACGCGTGCTAGAGTGCCCGTTGCTTTTTTTGTTTATAATATCAAAGTGTAACGAACAAGGCGCCAGAATTTTTGCTTGCGTTGCCAGACTTTTCGGAGTCTTAACCCTCTATGCATAAGCATAGAAATAATTAAAAAATCATTTTATGTATGTAAAAAAGTATGTATTTACGCGAAAATGATATAAATTAAACTTGTTATTCTGGGACGTAGTTTGGTGGAAAAAAATTATGGCTTCCTAAGTGTTTTCATATAATAGTCAATATTGTGCCTACCCAGAGCCAAGTTATCCTTGCAATGTAATATAATTTTAGTCCGATATTTGCAATTCCGTGAAAAATGCATTTTCGATAATATAAAGTATATATATTCTTGATCAGCATCAACAGCCGAGTTGATCATCGTCATAATTATATATAATAATTATAACATTTTAGTTTTAACATATTTTCATAAAATTTGATATATAGGCATTTTGTATTGTTCTAGAATTTCGGTTTTAATTTTATGAAAATCGGAAATATCATATTGCTGTAACAGAAACGACAACATATTTTCATCAAATTATATATAGACGTTTTGTATTATTTTAGAATATTGTTTTTAATTATTTGAAAATCGAACATTAATAGTAACGTTCGAGAATTAATACAAACGAACATTAACCTTTTCAATATATATACATATATATTTTATATTTTTATTTTAGGTAAACTTAAAAAAAAAAAAGAAAATTGGAAGACTATATAATAATAGCTCCCATAAAAACTATCCCTTAATGTACAAGAAGATGGAGAAATTATTTTATTTTTTTTGTATTATAAATAAATTAGAAAATTGTCCAAATAATAAAGGGTTAAGTGATTGAAATGAAAAGCCATAAATGGCTTTGTGTGCGGTAGAGGGTTAATACACCCGATTGTTTTGCATCATGATACAATTATAAAAGGTAGTCTCGTCGGCAAAAGCACTCCGCTATTCATTACTCACAACAAGTGCGAGTGAGAGGAGTCTGCGTAGTAAGTGCGAGTGAAACGACAAAAGAGCTTTTAGTTTAGCCCTTAGATGGTCCATGGGGGTTAAATTGTTCATACATAGTAAAAAGAGTTGAAGTGTTTTATAATTTAATTTTAATAGTTTTGAATTTGAAATTAATCTTTGTTTTTGTTTTTGTAAAGCTATTTTTTTGTTTGAATTCTTAATTTTAAAATATATCCGAATCTTAAAGTACAATTTTTTATATCTAAATTAATGTTTTATTTTCTTAGCAGCTATTAATAATTTTTCCTTAACGTTTTTTGTTATACTAAAAAAATCAGAAACTATATCTAAAAAACAATTTCCAGCTCCTTAATTTTCTTTTATAAATTTCACTCCATGCACGTGCTTCCGACAGAAATTGCAGAACGTCATCGCACACAAGGGTTAATAGTAACAAAAAAATCGTCCGCACACAACCTTTCTGTTTGACAAACGCGAACGCACTGTAGAGGTGGAGAGCTATCGATGGCACTATCGACACTATCGATGGTTTGGCGCTATCGCACCGCCATCGATGGCAGCCCTGCACTATCGATAGTTTTTCACGCGGCTTATCACATCACAAAGAAAAAATAAAGTTGAAAGTGGAACGCCAAAATATAGTGAAAAGCTAAAGTATAGCTGAAAGTAAAAATCTCCTAATGCTCTTTTTAAAAAAGAATTAGTTTTGTACTTCTTTTCCGCTCGAATACACAGTTCGACGATGTACTTTTTATACAATCCCTAATCAAAAAAATAAATAAATAAATTAATTTTTTATTTTTAAAGAGTTAAAAATATAATAAAGTTTTGTTCAAATTTCATTTTATAGCTTTTTTTACATCTAAAAATTCAAAAGCATAACACTACCGATAGTACTATCGACACTATCGATGGTTTGAGAAAAATAATCGCTCACTATCGATGGCGACGACTATCGATAGTTCTCCACCTCTAACGCACTGAAAAAAAGCCGAACGGTTAGGCAGCCGACGAGACTACCTTGTATAATTGTATCATGGTTTTGCATGATACTATGCTGTCATGCAGAAGCACTCGTCTCATCGTGCAAAGACCTCCTGCAACATAAAATATTTTTCTTTTATTTGTTGTAACCAACGCGGGGACGCTTGTAATTGTAATTCTGTAATTGCAATGCGCGGCCCTTATTTAATGCGCAGCACCACATTCGCCCCGAATTCCGGGATTAATTTAAAGCTTAATTTAGGCTCTAATTCACTGAAACAAACAAACTTGTTTATATTTTTATTTTTGTTTGAACGACGCGCATGAAATGGAAGAAAGTTGAAATGTAGAGAGAAAAACAAACAAATTACAAGAGTACGAAACCTGAGCAACAGAAAAGTGATATAATAACTTATAACAAATAAACTGGAGAATATCCTGTGAAACACTCACCCAAGGTAAGTAAGGAAAGGACATTGATTGATTTTTCGCCCCGCACTCTAGCTTTTTATTATAGAGAAAATGTTAATATACTTGTTTCCTTTTTTTTGTGTATCAGCCTTTTGCCAAGATGGCCGTGCAGCTTACGCAAAGCTACCACCACCTTCCCTTGACGATTACACCGATCCTGGGAGGGCAGGCACAGCAGATCCACCCGCAGCAGCAACATGTCCTGCATCCGGCCCCTAATCCGCCGCAGCCTCAGCCGCCGGATCTTACCTTCCACTGCATGTGCTGTGCCGAGTTCTTTGTCCATCCGGTGGCCCTGTACCAACACATGAACGCCCTGCATCCGAACGAGCCGTCGAGCGAGGAGCGTCGCCGGCGGGAGCGGGAGGAGGAGGAGGCGGCTGCAGCCGGAGCTGACGAGGGCGAGGACTATAGCTGGATCTTTGAGCCAGTGTGCGAGCTGGCCGAGGAGGGTGGCAGCGACTCCTCTTCGGATGAGGACAGCAGCGATTCGTCCGAGGATGACGACGACGACGATGAGGACAACAACAGCAGCTCGGATGATGACGATGATGACAGCAGCTCCAGTTCAAGTTCGAGCAACTCCAGCTCAACGGGCACCAGTTCGGAGGCCGCCACCAGCAGCAACTCCAACCCGCAAATGCAGCCACAGCAGATGCATTCCATGCATGGCTTAATGGCCGGTCCGGTGCCCAATGAGTTTCACCTGCAAATGGCCGATCCACGGGAGTCCACCTCGATTATCATGCTGCAGCCGTCACTGAGCATTACGCCGGTAAACCAGCCGCTGCCGATACCACAAATGCCGCCAACGGTGGTACCTTTACAGCCACTGCTGGGACCGGACTCCATCCATACCCCCATAAAGCGAAGGCGTGGACGACGAAGCAAGGCAAACGTGATGACACCGGCATTGGGCATCGATCCAGCGCTGAATGCAACGAATCCTGCGGCCCAGAAATGCTTCCAGTGTACGCACTGCGAGGCAAGCTTTCCGAATGCCGGTGATCTTTCCAAGCACGTCCGGTCGCACATCACCAACAAGCCGTTCCAGTGCTCCATCTGCCAGAAGACCTTTACGCACATCGGTAGCCTGAATACGCACATCCGCATTCACAGCGGCGAGAAGCCATACAAGTGCGAGCTGTGTCCCAAGGCCTTTACGCAGTCCAGCAGCCTGATGGTGCACATGCGCTCCCACTCGGTGCGCAAGCCCCATCAGTGTGTGGAGTGCGACAAGGGATTCATTAACTACAGTTCGCTGCTGCTCCACCAGAAGACGCATGCGGCGCCCACGGAGACGTTCACGTGTCCGGAATGCGAGCGGGAGTTTAAGGCAGAGGCGCTACTCGACGAGCACATGCGCATGCATACTCAGGAGCTGGTGTATCAGTGTGCCATCTGTCGCGAGGCCTTCCGCGCTAGCTCCGAGCTGGTGCAGCACATGAAGAACCACATGGGCGAGAAGCCATTCACCTGCTCCATCTGCGATCGCTCCTTCACGCAGTCGGGCAGCCTGAACATCCACATGCGCATTCACACCGGCGAGAAACCCTTTCAGTGCAAACTATGTGACAAATGCTTTACGCAGGCCTCCAGTCTGAGCGTCCACATGAAGATCCATGCCGGTGAGAAACCCTATCCCTGTCCGATCTGTGGCAAATCCTACAGCCAGCAGGCGTACCTCAACAAGCACATCCAGGCGCATCAGGCAGCAGCGGCGGCGGCGTCGGCGGTGGCCTCCTCCTCTTCCTCATCACCACCGGGATTGTTGATCGCCAAGCAGGAGCCCCATGAAACCTTGGTCTGCATTGTCTGTGGCTCACTGCATGCAGATGCCACGGCTCTGGCCACTCATGTGACCAGCCAGCATGCAGCTCTACTAGACACGATGAAGCAATGTCCGGGCGGTGAAGCTCTCCAGTCGGAGGGCAAGTTCAGCCAGGAGGAACAACAGGCTTACATGCAGCGGGTCCAAACCGTTTTGTTGCAAATGAATCAGGAGCAGCAGCAACAGCAGCAAACCGTATTGCTCACTCCGCAGCAGCAGTTGCCATCTATGGACTCTACAGGCGAGGATGAAGAAGAGCCCGAAGAAGTCGAGGATCCCGAAGAGGAGGAGGAGGAGGAAAACGAGGATGAAGATGTAACTCCAGAGAATGAGGCCGAAGCTGAAGTTAAGGCTGAGGTTGAGGCTGAGGAGGAAGAACAAAAGCCTATAATAAATCTGAGGGACTCCATACTCGGTCCGCAGGAGGAGCCGCTGTTCATGGACTCGGACATGTATTACGAGGACTTTGCCGACATGGACGTGGGCTGCCAGGAGGAGGTGTTCGGCGACTATGTCCTGAAGGAGGAGGAGGTCTATACCCAGGAGCTCATCTAGATTTAAGCACTAAGTTTGGCCATTCAAGCATCTCAAAGGGAAGGTCAAAGGTTTCGTTTAACCTTGTCAAATTAGCCTTCCTTTTTAATTTTATTTAGTTTCTTCACAATGTTCCTGTTATGCACACAATTCCCCGTCACTAGACAACCAAAAGAAGAGTCCGGGGAATGCTCCAAAAAATCTCAAACAGTTTACAAGTTTTAATTTAAGATTGATGTGCACTTCTTTTGGATTGATAAATCCGATAAGTTATACACACTGTAAAGCAAATCCATAGTGTTAACCTGACATAACAACCTGCGATGAAATAGTTTACAAACATTTACTAGAAATATTTACACAAAACAGTTGATATTTTATTGCCTAATGTTAAGATTAAGATGAGATTTCTGGATCATTCCTCCTCGGTCCCCCTTTTTATTCCTAAGAATCCCAGCAAAATTCCACATTCGACTCTCATATCACGTTCCCGATTATCTTTTAAAGATATTATATTTTTTTGCTAGTATTAAGTCCTTTTATCTGCGCTGCTCATTTTACATCCCATAAGGGGAACCCCTAGGCCTTGTTAAAACTCGCAAGGTTCCCTCAATTACACAACGCGTAATTTTTCCAAATTGCCTGAAAAGAGATTACATTAATCGTTATATTTAAAAAAAAAAAAAACAAAAGAAGAGTGTTTTATTTGCTAGGGATGGAAGGACATTTTGTTTTCCTTTAAAGTTCCTCGGAGATCACAAGTCAAGGGATATTTTTGAAATATGATTTAAGATTTAATCTGCAAACACACAAATCATTAAATTCTAGTAAATGTACCAGCTGGCGACGCTGCATTCCGAGTGGGTTCATTGAGGTCCAACGAGGGATCCGTTTCCGCCACCCCAAACATCCCGGACAACAGATAACCGCCTGCCATCATGTCATCTGACTCTAGTTTCTCCGGCGGAGCGATCAGGACATCATCACCCTGGTAGACGTACGGCAGCCGGAGGATCCAGTAGGCGCTCTGCGAGAGGCGGGGTGGAACGATGCTGCCCAAGGTGAAGGTGTACTTGCCCTTACCCACGCACACCTTGGGATCCACGATTATATTAACGGGCGCCTTGGGGGTGACCACATGGATGCGCATCAGCTGAGCCAGATAGTTGATTTGGGAGCGGCACGGGCAGGGATAGTAGAGCGGCATGTTATTGTGCACCACCTTGCTGCAGGTGTCTCGTTCGATATCCGCTCCACCTCGTAGCACGCGATCCGGGGCGCACATCATGAAGCGATGGCCGCGCGAGCACTCGTACTCCATGCCGACAAAGATCTTGAGGGACAGGCGATCGCCCTGCTTCTTCCAGCGCTGTTGTTTCTTGCCGGGATGCTGATGGTGATGATGTTGCTGCTGCTGCTGCTGCTTGGGAGCATGGACCAGTCTCAGTTGGACATCCCAGGGCAGAAGGAAGTTTGCACCAGACAGGAAGCCACTCTGAAAGTGCTCTTGAAGGCCGGTATTATGACTGTAGATGGAGCTGGGACCCACGCAGGCTAGCGACCAGCTGGGAAACAGTGGCAATAGCCCAAAATTGCTGACCGTGTGTACCAAGCCCGGCAGATATTCTGTGGTGGACGTGGAGCAAGTATTTGGTGGTGGAGCGGTAGACTCCTCGCGCACCTCTTTCTTGGCTGCCGGCTCCTTGAGCTGGAGCACCAGTTCATTCTCCGTATCGCCGCTGGAGGTGCCGCTACTCGTGGATTCCTGCTCCGAGTTTGACAGATCGGCAGAGCTGCCCTGGGATTCGTTTAAAGAGGCTCCAAAGCCGGCAATTGACATGTTTAGATCGGAACCAAAGGTAGGCGAAAGGTTCTGGCCGCAGTCGGAAGCTTTCTTCTCCTCCTCTGGCTTCTCGGAATCCTCCTGTCCGTCCTCCTCCTCCTCATCACCCTCAGCCTCGTCATTTTCATCATCATCGTCATCGTCGTGCTGAGGACCACCACTCTTTCCCGTGAGCAACATGGGAAACGCTGCCTCAAAAGCAGCCGCTCGATAATCGCTGACGGAGGGCTCGAAGATGGGAAACTGGTACTGCTTCACCTTTACGCAGAGATTGCACATCTTGGCTATGTGCTCGTAGTACTCGTAGTTGGCCTGTCGCAGAGTGAACGGATCCTCTCGCCGTCCCTGGGTGCGGCCACAGTTGCAGGTGGATATGTGAACCACACCGCTTTTGTGCTTCTCGTGCGCCACATCTTTGGGCAGTGTGCAGGGATTGGAGCGCAGGCTGAGCAGCTCGCACTGCTGCCGCCCGTCCTGCCAGTGCTTCTGGCAGATGGCAGCTAACTTGGCTAGGGCAGCCTTGACCGGCGGTCCTCGTCCCTCCTCGCCGAAGGCTAAGGTAGCGTCTGCCAGGAGTTGTTTGTGCGTGGCGCTGCCGTAGATGCTGGGGGCTGCTTGCTTATAGGCGGCGATGCCTTTCTTAAGGCCCAAATCGCACAGATGCGCCCAGAATTTCTTTTCGAAATTTAAACTGTCCTCGAAGCTGTTGAGAAAGGTTTTGTATTCCTCGTTGCCAGTTTCATGAGTGCTTGGATTCTTGGCATTATCGACCAGCAACTGGTACAGCATGGCCATGCATTCGTGCCAATCCTTGAAATTAAGCAGCTGGAAATGTCCCTGCTGGGATTGCTGCTTGAAGGAGCCCTCGTCAAAGCAGCCTTGCTGGGCATCCTGTACGTGGCGCTGCAGGAAGTGCCACACTGTGTGCTCTTTCCTGTACTGCTGTTCCTCCAGGGCCTTCTCATCGATAAACCGGCCATAGGGCTTGACAAAGCCGTCAAAGGGCGCCAGATCGAGAATCTCTTGATCTTCCTCTTCCTCCCTTGTGTCCGGCTTGTACATGACCAGATTGAGGCAGTCGATGGCCTTGAGCAGCTTGTCCGTATGTTGCTCCTCGTGGGCGTTGAAAAAGACGAACTGCTTGTTGTTTGGCAGCGCCATCAGCGACTTTGTGCTGCTTTTGGTCACGATGTTATGGTGGCGCAACAGCTCATAGATACAGTCCTCCGTCTGGAATTCGAAGGCGGACACACGGTCACGCGTCGTCTCCTCGTCCTGTGGGTAATTCTCGAATAGGAACAGTATCCTCGGTGTGCACAGGCGCGATTTGTCGCCCATCCTAGTTGCCGCAATGCCCTTCAGCATGCTGGGCAAAAACTGCAAAAGATGCTGCTCCCGAGCGAACTTCAGCAGCTGGAACACGGTGACCAAGGAGGGATCAAAGCTCTGACCGGTTTCCACATAGACCACAATGTGACACGCATGCAGGGCCAGTAGCACCATGCGCACAAACTGGCAACGCATCCTCTCGTAGAAGCTGTCAAAGTCAAAGGGGCTATCGGTATCCTCCATGGAGGCATCTATCATCTTGCTTAGGACCGCCTCGTCGTATGTCGTCTCGAAGTGGAGCAGCAAGCTTGAGGTGCCCGGCTTATAGTAGCACTGCACCTGCCCATCCTGGGGTATGTGCTCCAAAGGTGGTTCCATGCCAAAGGCCTGCATCTTATTAGCTTGATCGCCTTTGGACCGGCCGACGATGCCGACCACAACCAGCGAGTTCCGCAGCTTCTGCAGCTCTTGGCTGAAAGAGTAGACGGTTAAGAATTGTTTTTTGTGTAATCTTGATCTAATCTCGGTCTTACGCCACATTTTCGGGTATATCCGGGTAAGTCCAGGTGTAATAGTCCTTCATGCTCGCGTTTGTTTACGTTTTGATTTGTCTGGCGTTAGGGATTTTTCTGTTACAGTGTACATAGTTGGTCATACTGCTGCCATGTTTTGTTTTATCTAATCAGCTGTTTGGAACCATACCCGATCAGCTGTTAAAGTGCTGCCAACTTGCTGTCACTTCATTGTTTGATTCATTTTTGCTATTAATTATTTGTTTTTAATTTTTAAAAATGTTGTTTACATCCGGAAAGTTGTCCGTGCTTCGTGTGGCAAATTTAGCACCGAAGGGCTTACATTACGTGAAAAGAACTCCTACAATTCAAGCCTTTCACATGACTGCAAGAAAGCAGCACAACTACATAGCTGCAGCACAAAAAATACATATTCCAATTAAAGTCGATACCGTAACTGAAACCAGCCGCTTTTTACCCCAGCAGCGTCATCGTGACCAGATATCCACAGCGTTCCTGGCTCCCCTCTCGACCAGTGCGCCAGCAAAGCAGTGGGTCACATACGATCCAAAGTTCACTATCGAAAGTCAAGACAAGGCCTTTTCCCTTCAACGCCGCAGCTATAGCACAAAATCGGAACCAATGCAACCGGTACCCACATCCGCAACGGCTACGTCTTCAACATCGTCATCATCCTCATCATCTTCATCAGTAGATGCCCAAAATGGTGACAAATTAAGCAAAAAAGAGCAGCTAAAGCGGGCATTTAAGGATTATGGAGCTACCATAGTGGCCTTCCATGTGGGAATATCCTTGATTTCCCTTGGAGGCTTCTATGCACTTGTCTCGAGCGGCATAAACTTTGTGCCTGTTCTGGAAATGCTTGGAATTGCGTCGTCGGCAATCGCAGAGAAAGTGGCCACAGGAAGCACTTTTGTTGTGGCCTATGCCGTTCACAAGGTATTTGCTCCTGTCAGGATAAGCATAACGCTCGGATCCACTCCATTTATAGTCCGATATCTCCGATCTAAGGGATTCATGAAGCCTAAACCCCAAGGCAAATAGATGGAACTGGGAAATCTTTGATGGTTAAGTGATTTAAAATCGATTTTATATATATCAAAATATTGAAACAATGGATTAGTCCTTTTCTTGTTTACTTTTTGGTTATCCCAAATAGTACGAACTTAAAATAATTTCGATAACCAATTGTATTTGCTTTAAACAATCCCCTAAATAATTATTTGATACTATTCCAATACCCTTAATTGATTATATCAAGATATCAGATATGTTAATAAAACACTCAACGCAAATATGTTGACTAAAGCAACCAAGATTTTATTATTGTAAACTTTTCATTTGCGATTTATAATTATTTTCCTTAAGCTTTTCATTACAGCTTCTCCGCTTTTTAGCGCGTGTGTGCTTGTTGTGTGTGGATTATCCTTTTTAAATGAGAATTATGTGCATGATTAAATATAAATGCTTAATTTGCTTAATTAATTGTTTTATGCGTTCCTTGTTTATGGTTGTAATAATGGAATAATGCGGTGATTAATTGGTTTTTACTAGTACATGCAAATAGCATTTGATTTGTTTGAAGAAGTTTCTAATACTTGCGTAGTTCCGATAGAGAGTTCTGGAAAGTCTACTGGTGAGTGTGCTAAAACGGTATTACATATCTGATCTGATCTGCCGATCCTTTGATCCTCTATTGAGCACATTTAAAATACTATACGTTTGGGTTTTCGATAGCTAGATGCTTTTAGATACTACTACAAAGAGTTGTAGATTTCGTGGAGTGAAGAAGAAGTTTTGATGCTTTTCCGAAGATATTTACAAATTCTAGTTGGGTTTTTGAGACTCGGCTAATACAATTTTATTTACAACTATTGTGGTGAGATTTGTTGTGTTTTTTAAGATAACGCTGTCGTAGAGCTGGAAAATTATATAGATATATAAAGATTTCAAGTCGTCAATTCACTCTTTTCCAGCTCTAATTATTCATTGATTTCTAATCTCTTGATTATTTCAAGAGACCATCGTGTTGGTTGTGTAATCTGTGTTTAAAATTCCTTTTTTGTCAGGCTTTACTGTATTTCTGTTATCCTTTTTCCATTATTCTCTTTGTACTTGCTAACTGCGCATACAAGTCCTTCCTCCTCCACGTTTTTGGCAGTGAACCTGAGCTTTCATCTTTGTCTGGTGATCGCACACATTTTACTTACAAATTTTGTTTCTTTGTTTTTTTTTTTTTTTTTTTAACAATTGCTACATGACATTCTCGGGGTTTATATAGTTTAGTTTTGGGTGATTAAATGAAGCACACACAGTTTGCAAAAGAACAACCAGAAAGTCACTAGGGGAGCTCAAATCTCCCCCTTTAAAAAAATGGAGCTAACTACACAGGATTTTGTATTCCATTTTCCATTCAAACGTAGCCATATCATCGCGTGTGTTTGTGTTTTATTATTATTAAAAAGTATCATCACAAAATTGATGAAGTATATTAATGCTTTCTCGATATTATACCATAAGCTTAGGGCTAACGTGTTCAGGGTAGCTTAAATTAGGTTTAACTTCAAATTAGTCGGGCTAACAACTAAAGTCCGTGGGAAAAAAACTCAACATAAGTAGGAGGAAATAGGTTAAGGTCAAAGACTTGCGAACTAAACTCCTTTTGTGTTCCAAGCTAAACTTAATTCTCTAGTTATTATTATGTATATTGTTTATCGGCATATTATATGTAGCTGAATGATCAATGATCTCTTGTATGATGAGGACATTTACAACGTTTTTGCGCGGTCCAGAAGATCGCTGATGAACTTCGATATGTCCGATTGCGGGCGTTTGCAGACTGACAATAATCTCTGTAGAAATATAACAAGATTTTAGTAAAGATATATTAATAATAGTATAAATAATAAACTCACAATAAGATGAGATCTCCTTATATCATCTGTGTCCATATCCAGTATCTCATCAATGTCCACATCGATGGCCTCGCTCTGTTGTTAATTAATTATTAAATATAATAAATTAATTTTTTCATATATGATAATACTCACTGGTGGATCGAACAGCTTCTGCAGCTCATCGTACAGCCACATCTCCACGGCCAGACGCTTCCGGATGAGGCTCATCTGGTGCGATCCATACTTGGCCGTGAGGAACTTCTCCCGTCGCTCCTTGACCTCGGCACCCTTCTCATTGAAGTTGACCCGCAGGTTCGTCCGGTTGGGCGAACGCTCACAATCGTTCATCTGTTCCAGGCCGCACTGCATCGTTGATTGAACTTTAATTCGCGCTAGCTTTCCTGCCTTTTAATTAATTGGCGTGGCCTGCAATTGAGGGAAAAACAGTTGTGGAAATTGAGACACAAGTGAGCTGGATTGGCCACAGTATTTTGTAATTAAATTAAATTAAATTTAACTTTAACCGCATGTAATGGTGTGGGTTAACTCTGACTGCTGAACTTTCCCAATGTGCGTCACCCGCACTCATTTCTCCAGCTTCAAGACCCGTTTTTGGGCCCTGGAGGCCTACTCCAATCCCGCATCCGTGACTCACCGTCCCTCCCTTCTGCGCTCTGAATCATACATTCCATTATGTGTATATATCTTATATATATACATGTTATATGTGTATAGTTTATCTATGTCCAGGAATAACGACGACATGCAAGCCACACACCGAACAGGAATAATTGCTCACGTGTCACTCATCCTGCTCCTATCGCCGCCTCTATCTGCCAACTACACTATATAGTATACCATATATATAATGTATATATTGTCTGTGTGCGGACATTTGCCGCGTTTAACAGTTAATTAAATTAATGTGTAATGGATGCCAGTCGGATTTCTGATTTCTGACATTTGGCTTTTGGCCCATTTCAGTTGCGGGAAATCAGTTTTGACATACGAGCTTTGTATGCTGTAAGTGTGTACTTTTTTTTATTTAGGTAACTGACGGTATAGAGGGTAAAGGTTCATTTAACAGGGAAACTTTCACTGGGTTTTTTGTGATTCCCTTCCAGAGAATTATAATTATAGTCAGAAGCCTGTAACGATGGGAATGAGTCATTTCCGACACCATAAATCATATATATTCTTGATCAGCATTAAAAGTTGATTCAATCTAGATATTTCCGACAAAAATTATTTTTTTTCCCAATTTTTGAAATTTTTATAAGGGGTTACATCGTTAAAACTGTCAAAAATCTATAAAAATTTCAAATTTTTTAATTTTTATACATATTGAGTATGCAGATTTAATTTCATAAAAACTAACATAGGTCAGCTTTCCGATTTAAAATTAAGGCTTTTTTGGCTTATTTATAAGTTTTTGAAACTTTGATTTGTTGAACAAATTGTTATTAAAAATATATATAATATCGACTCAAAAAAGGTATTATACTTTTAGTTAGAAGCTTGTAACGCTTTGAAGGATTCATTTTCGATTCTATAAACCATATATATTCTTGATCAGCATCAACAGGCGAAGCTTTCTAGGTATGTAGGAAAGAAAATACATTTTTGAAAATTTTTTCAAAATTTTATAAGGTGTTACATCATTAAAATTGACAAAAATTTCGAAAAAAATTAACTTTTTTTTAAATTAAAAAATGAGTTGCAGATTTATTAACCGAATAAAAACTAACATAGTACAGATTTCTGAATTGAATTTAACGCTGTTTTGGCTTAGTTATGAGTTTTTTAAACATTGATTTATCGTAAAAATTATCCTATAAAAATATCGTTTAAAAGAATGCGAAGATTTTAAACTTAGTTTTAATTGATTTCTGGTTCGATTCCATAATTCGATTGCAAACTGCAAGGGTTTGTTTTACATTTATAATTTTTAGGCATTTCATCGACTAAACAAAAATATTAATATTTTTAACCTTTGAAAACCATTTAATGATAAAATGAAACCAAGTTTGATATTTTAGGTTTCATATATTTCAAGAAACTAATAATATAACATTGGAAATAATATAAATTCCTCTTTGAGAAACTCTGACACATTCCCCGAAAAACACTGAGACCCAAATATTGACTGTGCATATTATTTATAAACATATTCCAATCCGAGTGACACTTTTTGGCATTTTCCCCCAACAAAAAAAAGGAAATAAATAAAACAAAGGTTATCCTAGACCCATTCCCCTTCGAATGTCAATAGCAACAGGGGCCGTGGTGCCAGGCACCGAGAGGAGGTGGAGAGCTTTAACACCTGTCCGCCCCACAGTGAGTTCCCACCCCCCAAAACACACACCCCACACACACACACACACCGAGTGTATCCTTGATCCAGTAACACACCGAACCCCAAAAATCTGAACCTTGATTTTTCCAATTTTGCCCCGAAAAAAAGTTAACAAACTCGATTCACTCTCGTTTTCGGTCTGCACTAAAAACGAAATTGAATTGCAAATACCTCTGGCACTCGTCGAGTATTGAAATAGTTTTTGGTTATATATTGTTGTTTTTTCTTCTGTGATTTTCTGCTATATAGTTTTTTGATTTTTTTGGTTGTTGTTCATTTCGAAATCTTGCAGGCCATGTGGCAAGCGGCAGGCAACAATTGCAACCACAGCACAACACATTAAGGCACTCTCCGGTGGAGAGTTTTCCGCATTCGCGGCTGAAAATACAACAAGAAAAACAATGCACATAATTTTCACACAACAACTGAATTTTTTCTAGCCCGTGCGAAATCTGATACCAGATTTACTCAAGAGCCATAAGCAATTATGAAACCGGCGTTTAACTTGTCACTTGCATGTCGGCCCCGAAGAACTGGAGTCCCAAGAGAGAGATTTGTAATATGAGCGGAGGAGCCCGAGGAGGGGTTCTGGGGGTTCTATTTCCAAAAGCAGTCAGCTCTTTTCCGAGGGCTTTGGCCCGGAAATTACCCTAAACGAAGTTAATTGTGTGGATCCGTTTGGCCTACAACTAACAATTCACAACTGGCTACTGGCTGCGGGGGACAACACTCCTACGGGCATGGAGATTGCTTTGAGACATGAGATACCATTTATGGAGACCAAAGATACCGGGGAAAAAGAGGTTAAAAGAGACTCATTTAAACTCTATAAACGATCTGGAAATATATATTTTTAACTCTATAGTTTATGATATTTTCTGTATATATTTATTGAGATTTATTGAATTATGAAGACATTTCTTAATTGCTTGAATTAATTATTATTTCCTTTAATTTAATTTAATCTAAGAACTCTTTGTTATTTTTAAAATACCCCTTGAAGTTAGGGTAACATCTTGCTTTATAAACAATTTACAACAAAAATTTCCCCACGTTTGTTTATGAAATTGTTTTCGTAGAGCCAACGGTAATTGTGGGATCTAATGAATTATGTTGCCCTCAACAAGAAAGTTATCTTAGGAATTTCCACACAGATTTTCCCAAACAAACAAAAAAACAAGAAAAACGAGAGCAAAAACTATTTGACCGTAGGGTTGCAGGGAGAGGGTGGAAAATTATATACCTTTATATATTGCTTGCCACATCTAACGTTGGCAATTTTGCATAAATATCATGTTGAAATTGCCTACGGCAATGCGGCAACAACATGCAACATGTTGCATGTGCAACGAAGGCCGAAGGTAACTGCGAATAGGCTTAGTGTACTCCCCCTTTTTCAGATGGCAACGTTGCAGAACACCTTCCGGTATCAAGGCAGAATAGTTCCCATCAGAAAATATGGTTAATAATAGTTGGGTTTTCAGTTAATTTTTAGAGATTTCTGTATTTTAAATTCGTAAAATAAACCCTTACACTTATTACCATTTCAAAACTATTTTAATCGATTTTTTTCTGTATTTTCCAATGTACTATAAAAATGACTAACAATTTGGATCAACTCTCCTTCACCTTTCGGGTTTGCGAAAGGAAATTAGTGCGACAGTGTGGTCAGTAGGAAAAACCATTAGATAGATACGGATTGGCCTGCATGCAATTGCAATTTTCGGAATAGTTTCATGCATTTCAAATGGCTTCAATGCCGGGACAAAGAAGGCTCTCATCAATTTATATCCCCAGTTCGAATTAAAAATGTAAATTGACATTTCCCTCCTGCAACTAAACCTGCACCTGGACATACTATATATCACTTCTACTATCGAGAATGAAATGTCAATCGTAAATATTTCAGTGAGGACATGGAATGGAAACTCTGCTTGTATCTCTCTCCCCAGAGTTCAAATTGATTCAATGAACTCAATTTAGGAGCCAAAAAAAAAAAAAAATCATTTATCCATTAGATGCGGCTAATCAGATTTTTTTTTGTGTTACAAAAAATTCAATTAATAAACGTAAATTTGATGAGCCATAAAACGAAAAAACTCAAGTCAGAGAACGAGAGCAGGCCTAATTTGCTTCACCTTCAGATCAGGCAAACTCAAAAAAACAAATTGATTTTTAAAGACCCTGCCATTTGGTACATTTATGGATAAATGTAAATCGAATGTGTCGCAATTCCCCAAAATGGGGAATAAATACATACATTTATCGCTTTTGGACTGACGCCAAATGCTGAGTGCCGGAGTGCGGAAAGTTCATGTTAATTTTCAAGGTAATTATAGCTTAATTATACATTTTATGTTTCTGCTGCCAATCGCCCTATATGGCCATTGCTATAAAACACTTTTGTCAAGCACTTAAAACTTATTTGAAAAATTAAAAATGCTTTTTGAACGATTGCCAACGAGATGAGAAATGTTTTGGCAAAACTGTTGAAATAGCTATTGAAATAATTCTCTCATTTTGATGACAAATATATTTAGATATACTTAAACTGGGCTAATGGTGATTTCGATTTCTATTTTTATTTTATTTTTTGGTCACTAAAAATCTCCTAATTTACATTCAAGAGAGAGAGAATAAATAATATCCAGACTCAAACCGAAAAATCAAGTTCATTGGGGCCTAAGCATGGCATTAACCTATATTCGAAGAAAGGTGGGATCAGCTTTTGAACATTTCTGAAAATCTTCCATTCAAGACCAAAAATTTTCCCAAGCATAGAGGGAAAAAGTGAAATGTGACGCTTTTATGCTAAAAGGCCTAAAAATAAGGCTTACAAAAGGGCCAGCGTTTGTTTATGCAAATGCTTTATGATTCGCGGGCTGTGAAATCCCCCAGAAAAAATATAAAGTCCAAAAGCAGAATTCGAAATTTTATTTTTGGGGAACAAGAAACCACCGAAAACCAGTTTTAGAAAGAAACTTAGGCTCAACATTTCATTGATATATGTAAGAGGGTGAGATCGAAGCTCTTGGTATCAGCTCCGCCCCTATCAATTTACGTTGTAAGT